GGTACAGCTACCAGCGAGCATCCTGGATAATGGCCTTTGTCAGGACCGAGGCTCCAAAGTGACGCTGATCTACCACTATGGCACGCAATACATTCAGAACTTGTATGTGGTCCCGGTTGAGGACCCCATGGTCACCCATCTGTCGGAGCTACAGAGCTGCTGCACCGACGAGACCAACCATCCGTCGTGCAAGATGGACGTGCCAGGTGGATTGAGTATCTACGTGATCAGATGACACTTCCACCATCTGAGTCAGAGGGTCGGGGCACGGCCTGGAGCAGTACAGTCAAAGAGGAGGAGGAGGAACGCTTCGTGAAGATCAAGAGAGTGCATCGACCAGACGCCGACAAAGCATGCAAGGAGGCGGTCGAGATGGTGGTGATACCAGTGGCCAGGGACCTTTCGAACTAGTTGGGCCAGCGCGACGCGCTGCTCCGCATCGAGCCTGACTCCTTCGGTCTCGAGCTGACCGCCATGGGGACGGAAAGTCAGGCCCGCAATGGCTAGGCTCCGGCCCGAGTGCAGGAAGGAGACGCGGACCCCAAAAGATGTACCGACCCGCTTTAGGCCACGAGAATTCAGAGTGAATGTGGACCCTAGTTGATTGCCTGAGGCTCTGGGAGTGAGGGAGATGAGGGGCGCGCTCCGTGCCCACGGCTGCTGTTTTGGTCCAGACCTATCTTAGAAGCCTATCAGGAAGCTCGCCCGCGGGGCCCGTGCGAGCAGAACGTGGATAGGCTCAGGGAGAAGATCCGTCGGAGAGTGTGCGAGCACCAGGGGGTATTCGAGTGCAGTATTCGCAGGACGAGAGGGAGGAGCAGGAGGAGGAGGAGGAGGAGGAGGAGGAGGAGGAGGAAGGGGAGGAGGAAGGGGAGGAGGAGGAGGAGGAGGAGGAGGAGGAGGAGGAGGAGAGGAGGAGGAGGCGGAGGAGGAGGAGGAGGAGGAGGAACATGATGTCGAGTCTCCCTGTCGCCGTGACCCGCGCTGGCACCAACAGGAGAAGGAGGACCTCAAGACCAAGGAGGAGTGCGAGACGACCAGGACGTGGGGGGAGGGCTATTGACCAGTGTGGCAAGCATGAGTCGCGCTGCCGTGGCGCGGCAGCGACGCTGGCGCGGGCGTCGAAGACGATCGCGTTCGTCCTCGTCCTCCTCTTCATCATCCTCGTCCTTCTCCTAGATCTCCTCATCCTTCGCCTCCTCCTCCTCCTCCTCCTCCTCCTCCTCGTCCTCCTCCTCCTCCTCCTCCTCCTTCTCCCTCTTCTTCTCCTCCTCCTCCTCCTCCTCCCACCTCCTCCACCTCCGCCTCCTCCTTCTCTTCCTTCCCTCCTCCTCCTCCTCCTCCTCCTCCTCCTCCTCCTCTTCCTTCCCGTCCTCCTCCTCCTCCTCCTCCTCTTCCTTCCCGTCCTCCTCCTCCTCCTCCTCCATCCTCTCTCTCGTTCTCTCTCTCTCTCTCTCGCTCCCCCCCTTTTCCTTCTCCAGGTGGCTTCAGCGCCGCGGCCGTTTGCGTATCCATCTTTCGCACGGCCCGACTTTCTCAGCCTCTAACCGCTAGGTGCCCGAAGGGCGGGCCCTGTTGCATAGCCGATGTGTATCGCCTCCCTTGTGCGACCTCCTCTGCTGCGCGACGAAGGGCACGGGCGCTTCGGGTGGCCGCTCGCCAGGCCTAAGCTGGCGCTGGAGGCGGTGGTGAACCTGACCAGCCTGCCCGCGGCCGCAGGTGCTGGGCTTGTTTCGCAATGGCTCCGTGCTGCCGCTGCTGTGCGCACGCCTGCACGCAGTCAAGGCGCCGTGTGCCGTCCTGCTGGTCTTCTTGCCGTTCCTCATGCCGACCTTGTGACGGTTGACGCCAGCGACGGCGCCGCGCCGTCCTGGAGCATCGTCGATTCCAACGCCGTTGCATCGGATGTTGAGGGTGGCTTTCCTGGAGCCGATGGCGATCCAGGCGCTGCTCACGTCGGCCGTGTTGCCGACCTCCGCCGTGAAGGGTTTCGCGATGGAGCCGTGGATGTCCCTGGTCCCGTTGATGACGCTACCGATGTTCCTCGGGCCGTCCATCTGGGTGACGGCGTGGGCTCTGGAGCCGATCGTGGAGCTCGTGCAGACGTCGTTCAAGGTCAGGATGGCTGTCGTTGTGCTGATGGGGTTCCTGATGCTGCTCCCGCTGACCGTGTCGCCGCAGTTGCGGGGGATGGCCTCCTGGTCTCCGACGGCGAGTGCGCTTCAAGCCGCAGTGGAGTGCGGCCGGCTCGTGCGATTTCGTGCGCGAACGCCGTCATGCTCGTGATGTGCTTGGTGCTGAAGCCGCTGGTGGTCACGGTGACGCTGGGCTTTGTGAAGCCGCCGCATCTGCTGAAGGAGCAGACCCGGGCGCTGGGACCGGTATGGCGCGAAGATCTGGAGGGCCGCTGGTCGACAGCGGCATGGCGGAGCGCAGGGACTGCAACGAGAGCGTGCCCTCAGACGCCTCCTTCCCTTCCTCTAGCAGGTTCGGTGCTTTGCGGGCTGGCTCTGGCTTGTGGGAGGGGGAGCGGGGATCTGCCGACCCCCGTCTCCGCGGGGGCGGAGGTGAGGGGGCGGAGCGGGATGGGAAGAGCAAGGGTTCGTGCACGCCGCCGAGGGGCGCGCTGCCGAGTCGGGATGAAGTATGCGAGGGGGAGCGGGGCCTGTCTGCCGACCCCCGCTTCGGCGGGGGCGGTGGTGAGGGGGGGGGGCGGTGCGGGATGGGGATGGCTCGCGTGCGCCGCAAGGCTGTGGCCCCAAATCGTATCCCTCCTCCTCCTCCTCCTCCTCCTCCTCTGCCGCCTCGTGTGACTTCGTCCGCTTCGCTGGCGGCCTCGTGCGCAGGCGAGCCGCCAGCGACTCCCAGGATTTCTTGGAGGAGTCCTGGGAGTTGATTTGCATGGGTGATCTCACGTGCGCGCTGTGGGAGCGCGGGGCACGGTGCAGGCTCCACGATCCAGAGCCTGGTGACGATGGCTCGGACCTGGACCTCCCTCCTCGGCACGCGCTCCGTCGGACCATGTCGCACGGCGATTTCGCCACTACTGTTTTTTCTGCAGGAGCTCCTCTAGCTCCTCCGCCGCCCTTCGGCATCCTTTTGCAACTCAGCTTGAAATTTCTTGTCTGCCTCGCCGCCAGACGTTCGCCCTGGCTCTGCTATGCCGCTCGTGCCCGTGGCCTGGCACGCCGTGCGGCTACACGACTGCTGGTCGTGCTCGCCGCCTGGCTTCTCTCTCTTTCTTGTCGCGTTGCGCGTACTCGTTTTTTCCACTCGTCTCACCTTTTCTCGTGTCCTTGCTCGGCGCACTCGTTTCATGTGGTGGTGCCTTTCCTCCTCCTCCTCCTCCTTCTCGTCCTCGTCCGCCTCCTTCTCTTTCCTGTCTCCTCCGCAAGCGGGTCACTTGTCTGGCCGGCCGCGCTCTGTGATCGGGAGCCGGGGCCCTCGCCCCTCCCCCGGGAATGACCGCACGTTGCAAACGAGGGCCGCTCCCAGAGGTAAAGGCACTCTCGGATGCTAGGACGAGGATAGATTCCTTCTAGAGCATTCTCGAATGCTTTCAGAGCGTTCCAGAGCGCGCTCAGAAGGCCGCGGCGCCCGAGACATCCTCCAGAACCGCCAGATCTCAGAGATTCTCGGTTTATCCTCACCCTGATTTTGTTTCTCGTCCTGGATTCGTCTTGCAGAGCGCAGCGTCCGAGCGCAGCATCCGAGCGCAGTGCGCGCGCGCGATCGCCTCACGGCGGGGCCGCCGCCGCGTTCTCGCGCGGTCGTCAGTCTTTGCTGCCTTAGCTTCCCAGCCAAGGCCGGGGGAGCCAGCGCGCAGGGCACCCAGCCTCCCCTCCCCTCCTCCTCCTCCTCCTCCTCCTCCTCCTCCTCCTCCTCCTCCTCCTCCTCCTCCCTCTCCTCCGCCTTCTCCTCTTCCTCCTCCCCCTCCTCCCTCTCCCTCTCTCTCCTCACAGTCCTCGTCGTCCCTCTCCTCCCACGTTTGTCAGTTTTGTCCCTGAACAGCTGCTCTGTTGGGGCTTCATGTTTTGTCCCATGCACGTGTGAGCTCCTCTGGATCCAGAATCGGTTGCTCTGGGCCCGTGGTTTACCACGTGCTCTCCCGCGTGCTCTCTCGTATGGTCTTTCGCATGATCTCCCGTAAGATCTCCCGTATAGTCTCCCGCATGGTTTCCCGTACTCTCTGCGGTCTGGTTTCTTGTATGCTCCCCTGTGTCGCACACGGCCCCCCGCATGTGCAGTACTGACAGCACAGCAATATATGTATACAATTATATATACACATATATATATATATATGCTACATGTATATATATATATATGTATATGTATGTCACAGCATCACATCATCACCACATCACATCATCGCTTCGCTTGGACGCCGACATATAGAACGGTAGACCCCGGGGGGTAGCATGTGTATATATATATATATGTGCACACTACATATGGATTTTTGTTACCAGTGACGCATGCTGTTCAGGGCCTGATATCTGGCCTTCGGGAGGGTTCACGTCGCCCGGCTCGGGCGCGACTCGGAGGCTGGGACTCCTGGGTGGGGTCCGATCCGCGTGTGGCCAGGTCTTTCGGTTCAGGGCTTCGGGGGCCGCCACGTGCAGTCTGGGCCCCCTCAGCCACGCCGCTGCCAAGCAGGGCTTGGAGGATCCCCCCCGGAGAGAGCGAAAGGGGGGTGAGTGGATCGACCCACGGCTGCAGCCTCTCTCGGGCGCGCCGACGTCATGGCTTATACCGATGCCTCCGTGGAGGGGGCCCTGATGCAGGGCCGGTTGTGGATTCGGTGGTCCTCGTGGCGCGTGTTAGCCCAATGTGTGTTGACTACGTGCAGCTGCGCCAGTGCCGCGCAGCGTGTGTCGTGCGTCATCATGGCGCCGTCAGCGTTGCATCGAATGGCGTTGGGAGGACAATCGCTCGTTGGCGCCAACTCACCTCCTGAGGCTCATCCATGTGTGCTCGCGGCCCTCCTCTCCCGCAGGATGGAGAACACCCGGGGGTCGGTCCTGCTCGCCAGGCGGCGGGCTCCAGAACAAGGGCATCGCCGTCGAGGGATCGCAGGGTTGGCCTCGGGCCCTCCAGCGGACGCCGGAGCAGGGGTCGCGGGAGACAGCGAGAGTCGGAGGAGGGCGAGCAGAGGCAACGGTGGTTGGCCTCCGAGAGGGGGCCCCCCCCTCGTCGCCACGGCTGGGCGCAGCTGGGAAGACCCGTGCGTTTGAACCCCCGGGGCGGGGTCTGGGGACCGATTCTGAAGGCCTTCCGGCCCGTGCCGCCGACCCTGCAGAAGACGCCGACGAGGACGAGGAGGAGGAGGAGGAGGGGGAGGAGGAGCAGGAGGAGGAGGCGGAGGCGGAGGACGCGGTGGAGCTTGGACCCCGGACGGGGTCAGGGGACCGATGTTGAGCTGTTTCCCTCGGGACCCCCTTCCCTCGTGCCGAAGCCGTCGTCATGTCAAGAAGTGGTCCGCGGTGGGGCCCTCGGGGTTTCTGGAGCCTGACAGGGAGATCGACGAGCTGAGCGACACCATCACCTCGGCCAAGGCCAAGATCGCAGAGCTGGAGGCGGAGGTCGAGGAGAAGGCGGCGGAGGTGAAGGCGATCGAGGAGGAGCTCGAGGCCGCGACCAAGATCCGCCAGGAGGAGACGGCCGCGCACGCGAAGACGGACAAGGACGACGAGGACGCGGCCGCGACCATCGTGCAGGCCGAGAAGACCAAATCCGCGCCATGTGCCAACCCATCTCTCCTGGAAGGTAGGTGCATCTGGACTCCCAGATTCCAGCCTTCTTCGGGCGCCTCTCTGTCTCAAGAGTCGAGTGCGTTTTGCCTTTTCCTTCCTAGGGGGCGGGGCGGAAACCCAATCTGCTTTCGACGCCTCCCCGCGTCATACTCCTGCCCACTTCTTCCGAAAAGATGGGTGAACTGCTTGAGGCCTGCCTGCGCGGAAGTTTCCCCAGGTTGGCGCGACCCCCCCCCTCCTCCCCACCACTCAGAGGCAACGTCAGGGGAGGGATGGGCTCCGACGGTGATGCATCGACCCCCTGACCGCCCATTCACCGTCGATGGACGCTCGATGGCCCTCCCCGACCAGGAGCGTGCGGAGTCGCGATCGGGGGCCTGGGGCCAATGTGCCGACGTTGATCGCCGATGCCAGGCCGATTCCGGAGGGCGGGCGGGAACCCAGTCTGCATCGAATCGGGGGCCCCCAAACGGTGCGGTGACCACACCGTGCGGTGAGTCGGCGGGGATTCGGGGTCGCCGCACGGTTTTGGGACCCGGGTCGTTCTCCGAGGACGTCTCGGGCGACGGGGGCCTCCGAGGTCCCAAGACCGTGCGGTGACCGTGCGGTGAGGTCGTGGGGGATTTCGAGGTCACCACACGGTCTGTCACCGCACCGTTTTGGGACTCCCAATCGAACGCCTCCTTCCTGCTCCGTGCCTCGGGCCACCCCTCTCCTTCACGACGGGCAGCCCCCATGGAGGTCTGCGCGGGGCTCCCTCCCCGGGTCGGCGCGGAGGGGGGAGCGAGGGCATAACGGGAACCTGGACCTCTGGGGATCGGGGATCCAGATCCGAGGATCGAGGGAGGATCGAGGGAGGATCGAGGGACCGAGGATCGAGGGATCGAGGATCGAGGAGGGATCGAGGCTTCGAGGGATCGAGGGGTCAAGGGATCGAAGGATCGAGGGAGGATCGAGGGGGGATCGAGGGATCGAGGGAGGATCGAGGGTTCGAGGGACCGAAGGTCGATGATCGAGGGATCGAGGGATCGAGGGATCGAGGGATCGAGGATCGAGGGAGCGAGCTTCAAGGATCTGATTATTTCAATTCGAGAGGCCGCCACGTCTTTGGGCCGCGGATTGACAACCGTCTCGGAGATGTTGGGGGAAGTGGCTCGAAAGGGGCCCCGAACGGCCCCTCGATTGCAGCCGCGGGGCTCCAAAAAGTGATGGAAAGGTGGCGGTTTGCTCCCTTCTTTCCCAGTTCACGAACGGCCGAGGGAAGGAGGTCCAGCGCCGACCCAGGACATCTGCGAAGACCTCGGAAGGCTTCTGCCGTTGTGCCACTCACTGCCGCCTTGGATCCTGACTCTCCAGAGGTCCCCAGATGTCCGCGGAGTCCCAGAGGTCCCCTTTCTGGAGGGTTCCGGATGTGCCAAAGCCAGGGGAGACATACGCACCCATCAGGATCCTTCAGAAAACGCAGCAATTTCCATGGACCCCAGACTTCCTGTAAGAGCATCAAGAATCTGGACTGGACCCTGGCGCTTGGAGACGGCACTTGGCCAGTGCAGGCCACCGAGGCCGTGGAGGGGTTGTGCAGGAGGTCCTCGCCACGCGGGCCCTCTCCTGCAGTCTCGCCCGGCTCCGTCACCGTCACCGTCACCGTGTCCCTGAGTGCGGCCACGATGTGGCCCAGGGACGGCCGGTCGACCTTTAAAAAATCCTGATGGGGGGTGGGAGGAGAGGACGACGACGGAAGGCGAGGATAGGGCGCCGTCCGGAAAGCACCTGGGCTCGGAGGAAGAGGGGAGGGAGGGGGGCGGAGAAGAGGGGCAGGGAGAGGGGAGAGAGAAGAGGGGGGAAGAAAGGGAGGGAGGGAGGGGGGGGAAAGAGGGGGAGGGGGGAGAAGGGAGACGGGCGAAGGGGAAACGGGCAGGGGGATCGGGGCGGAACCTGGACAGAGTCGGGAAGCCCAATGGTGATTGGAAGGGGGGTGCCCCTGCGGACAGGGTGGCAGAGCGGGGGGAGAGCAGTCGAGGGTCCAGCACCGCCACGACTGGCCCAGAGGACCCAACCAGAGGGCTCTCCCGCCCTCGCAATTGGGATGTACACAGAATGGGACAACACCACCATTCCTCCGTCCTCCCACCACCCACCCGCCCTTCCCTGCCCACACTCACACACACTCGATCACACATAACAATAGGAGACTCCGTGCAGATCACACAAGGGTGGGCACAACAAGAACAAGAAAGCACGATCTGTCCTGCGAATTCATGGCTCCATGCACGGCCCATGGCTCGACTACCCGCCCCCGTCGGGCCCTGTATCCGGGGGCGGGCCTGTGGGGTGACCCCTTAGTCAGCCATCGCGTCGCCGGCGTTGCCGGCCGCGGCGGCCCCGCCGCCTGCTCCACCCGCCCCGCCCGCGCCCGCTCCGCCCGCTGCCCCGGGAGCTACACCCGCCGCCGGGGCTGCACCCGCCGCCGGGGCTGCCCCCCCAGGTGCCGCAGCTGCCTTGGCGGCCGCCCTGCCTTTCTTCCCCTTCTTGCCCTTGCCCTTGCCTTTGCCGCCGCCGCCACCTCGGCCCTGAAGCACCCCCTGGGTTCCCTTGCCGCCCTTGCCGCCCTTTGCGCCTTTGGCCTGCCCCTGGGCCTGCCCCTTGCCGCCGCCCTTCCACTGGCGCTCTTCCTCGGTCCTCTCGTTGTAGAGGAGCCGCCTCGGCGGCTGGGCGGCCCCTTCCTGAAGCGTGGGCTGGCCGGCGACGGAGAGACCCGAAGCGCGGCGCAACGGGTGGTCTAAGCCGTCAATTATCTGTTCCATGCCCAGCGAGGAGGCACCGAACTTAACCTTCAGTTTGAACACGTTCGGAATCCGCACCTTGGTGCCGCGGTCGTAGTCCCACCGATACTGTTCCATGACCTTCTGAAGCACCCCTGGCTTGCTCAATTCCTCACAGAGGAAGCGAACCGCCTGCTGGGTGGACCCGGGCTGGTCCGACGCTCGGTCCGGCAAGGGCCAGCTCAGCCCCAGGTGAGCCCCCAGGTCCCGGCCAACAGCCTCCGGCGTCAGGTTGCGCAACTCACGGTACTCTCCCTGGTTCCCGTGCGCCTCCCACACCGAGTCCACCGAGGGGAATCCCTCTAGCACCACACTCGTGCTTTTCAGCACACGGCTGACCTCGTTCCGAAGGCGGAAGATCTGCTCGGTGTGACGGCTCTGACCCTCCTCCAACGCCGCAATGCGGCGCTCCGTGGCTGCGCGGCGCTCAGCTGCCATTTCTCTGTCACACCCCTCACCGACACACGATCAAGCAGGGAGAGAGGCTGCCGCCGGACGGGCACCCACCCCCGCCCGCGCCCGCCCCCGGCCGACCCCGCCGCCCAGACGACCACGACGACGACGACGACGACGACGACCACGACAACACCCCGACGACGACGACGACCACGACGACGACAACGACGACGACCACGGCAGCGCCGCCGAACCAGGGGCACCGCAGGAGGAGGGCGGTCATGACCCTTCCGGCGAGAGCCGGTTCCGCCGGGCGGGGGCCTTGAGCAGCTGGTCGGGGCGGCGAGCAACAATTCACGTGACTGCACACATCATGGCTCGAGCGGGGGCGGGGGGAGGGGAGGGGGAGGGGGGGGGCCTTCCTCCTTTTTTTTTTCCTAGCTGCGCACAAGAAACAGTATACGTCACGTCAGAGGGAGTAAGAAAAGAAAAACGGCAAGCAAACGCACGCCGGCAACAACACGAGGGAGTCGAGGGGGGAAGAATCGCAGCCGAGCGACAGCAAGGGGGGGCAAGGCGAGGAGGCGGCCGGCGGCCATTGGACCTATACACCTGCCCCCCTGCAGTGGGGCCTGGGGGCGGCCGGAAGTGAGTTCGTGACTCACTTTAGCACAACAATGAACAGGGCAAGCCCTGTCCTGGCCGCCCCCGATGCTTCGGGACGTGCCCGGCATCATCTCGTGACAGATCGCCTCGTGGGCGCTGCCGGCAGCTGCAGGTTGTGAAATCCCAAATAGCAAGCACACTGTGGTAAGGTCCTATGACCGCCCGCCACCCCCCACCCGCCCTCCCACCCCCCCTAGACCGCTATTTCCTACACGAAACAAGATCTGATTATCCGGCTCCCGCCGGGCGTCTCCGGGAAATACCAGCGAGACGAATCGCCGCCTTGGCCTGGGCGTTCGCCCCGCGCGCCTTACCTGCAACCCTGGCCGTAACAGCCTTGGCCGGGGCGGCCTTGACCGGCGGGCCCGCCCTTCCCTTGGCCCCCACGTGCGGTTTCGGTTTCGGCTTGGCTTTCGCCTTCGCTTTAGCTGCACCTGGCCCGGGGGGCGGGGGCGGCGCCGGTGCCGCCGCCGCCGCGACCGCGACGGCCTGGGCCTTTGCTTTCGCTGCAGCGTCCCCACGACACCATTTCTCGTGGTTACCTAAAGGGCGACACAGCATTCCTGGGGGAGGCGGTGGGTAGACTAAGCCACACTTCGAGCATGTCCGGTTCAGAATGTCACTCCCCCTGCATTTGGATTCGTGTGCCTTGCGACACCCCTCTTTTACATATGTGAGGCACTTACGACATTTCGCCATTCCGGCCGGTATGGCATAACCCGCTACCGTGCACCTCGTGATGTGCCCGTACAGGTCCTTGCTAAGCACCTTTATGCCGCATTTCTTGCAATAATCCACCTCGTTCCATTGCAACTCGGCCACCTCAGGTGGGGTCGCCATCCACCGGGCCGATTGGCGAGAAGCATACCCGCGCCTACCTAGATCCGCCGCCCTGTCTGCCAGCTCGTTGTCATGGGCGCCTGTGTGCCCATACACATGTTCCCAAGTTAGACTGCGTCTCTCCAATACCCGCGCTGTGAGCTCTTGTACGGCGTCCGCAAGCTCCTCGTTTGATTTCACCTCCCATAACCCCCGCGCTATGTTCGCTGCGTATTCCGAATCATACCGAATGTGCACGGGTACGTGGCCTCCGTCTGGTGCTTCATCCAAGAGCCACTTCATGAGTTCGCCAATAGCCGATAATTCCGCCGTATTATTAGTTTGGCTCCTAGCTCCAAACCATCGGTGATCCCACGCTCGACTCACAACAGGGGCATGAAGCACGTAGTCCGGGACCATACCTGGAAGGCTCGGATCCGTAACCCGCCAGATCACTACCCCCCAGCCCGCCTCCCCGTCCTTGCCCGACCCGTCGGTCGCTACCCACCAAGCAGCCGGCTCCGGTGCGTGCGGTCCCATGACAACTGGCAGGTATACCCCGTCCTGTGTCTGGAGGGCGTCCCGGAGCTCCAGCCTGGCCGGACAGGAAGGCTTGTGCCTCCGAACATCACATCCCAGGTATTCCTTGCAATCCGGACACTGGTGGGAGATGCTCGTGACCAGGTGGGGATCCCGCACCGAGTGTGCCTCATCGTAGTGGTACTGCAGCTGGTTGCCCTTGTCGAACACCCGTCGGCACACCGGGCAGCAGTACTCGTCGTCGTCCGCCAGAGGGGGAGAGGGAGGGGCCGGGGGAGGGGGAGGAAAATCCCGGGCGCCCAACTTCAGCATTGAAGTCTCCTCCAATGATGAGTAAATTGTCGTGCGCTCGCACACGTGATTCCACGTGCCGCAATTCCTCGTTGAAGGCGTCTCTGGTTTCCTCATTGGCGGTGCCCGAGACGGGGGCGTAACAAGCAACCAAGGAAAGTCCACGACGTTGGCCCTCCCGGGGCAACACAACCCCCATGACCCGCACCCCCTTCCTATCCCACTTCCCCCTAACGACTACCCTCGATCCCCCCTCCCTCCATAATGCCGTAAGGCGTTGATTCAGCACCACACACACTTTGCCCCGAATGACAAATGTCCATACCTCTGTCCCAACATCATACTCCCGGACGCCATTCTGATAAAAGTTGACGTCCGTGAACATGCCAAACTCCCACCTACGAGCTTCCATCAGTTGCAAAAAACACTCAAGCTTGAGTTGCGATGGCTCATACCCACGACTCGATCCAAGTTTGCGCGTGTTCCAGGTTCCTCCCCGGAGGAAGATCTCCTCCGAGCCTTTACGCACGCGTTTCGCTCGAGACTTCCTCAACAGAGACAAGCGATAGAAAGCACGACACCGTTTCGCTCGAGACTTCCTCGCCTTCTGAACCGTCTTCCATCTCCTGATGCGCACCAATCGTCTCTGACACCTTGTCGGCCGGTCCGTGTTCTGAGGGCCCTGTTGGAGCTCCATCCGACGACGCGTGTCCGAAGGCGCCCTGTGCGACTCGCCGGGGCCAGAGGCGCAGCCGCCTGCCCTCTCGGAGCGCGAGGCAGGGGAAAGGTCCGAGGACCCAACCGCCCCCGCCGTCGATTCGCCCCGGAGGGGTTGTGCACTCCCGCCCCCAATCCAAGCCGAGACCACGGAAGAAGACCCGTACGACGCCCACCCAGAGGCACCACGAAGCGCACCCACCAGATCTTCTCCCCCAGCAGCGCCAGTGGGGGCACCCCTAAAGGGGTTGGGGTTAGCCACGTCCATAGCTTTACAATGGAAGACCGTGGATAGAAACACTATGCACACTACCAGGGGGGACACACAACCACTACACACACCACTCCTACATCTACCCGCCCAGTCCCCGTTGAACGTGTTGTCCGAGGAGCGGCCACGTGGAGGCCTGTGCACCTGCTCCTCCTCGCCCGGCTCCCTGTCCATCACCGCGTTCATGTTGTGCTGCTGTTTCCTGCTCCTTGCTCTTGTCCCTCTTTGGCTCTCGCTGTCTGTTTTGACGTGGTGCTGGCCTTCCCGCGGCCCGCCGCGGGCGTCTGACGCTACGGGCGCAACCGCGCGCCCTCCAGCCTGCGCAAGAAAAGGAGGTCCCTGGAGGCCCGAGAGGCATCCGACGTGTCAAAAACGCCCGTCGGTGGTTGAAAATAGGTATGCCTGGATTCCCAGATCCCAGTCTACGTAAGCCGCCTTCCTGCTTCAAGAGTCGGATGGTTTTCCCTTTTCCCTCACTTCAGGGGGCGGGCGGAAACTCAATCTACTTCCAACGCCGACCGACGGGTGCCCCAGGCACCCAACACACGCCGAAGACGTCCAAGAACTTTCCTTGACGTTCGGGCGATCGACAGGGCCTGAAGCTCCACCCCGTGGCGCCGTCACTTTGAATACTTAGCAATGTGGGCCATCGAGGTCCCGGAGAGGGATGACGAAAAAGAGGAGGAGGAGGAGGAGGAGGAGGAGGAGGAGGAGAAAGGATGAGACAGAGGAGGATGAGGATATGGGGGGAACGACGAGGAGGCAGGATGAAGGGAGGAGGGGGAGGAGGGGGAGGAGGAGGAGGAAAAAGGAGGAGGGAGGAGGAGGAGAGGAGGAGGAGGGAGGGAGAGAAACAGGAACAGGAGGAGGAGTAGGAACAGGAGAGGAGGAGGAAGAGAAGGAGGAGGAGGGAGGAGGAGGAGGACGAGGAGGAGAAGAAGAGGGAGGAGGAGGGGAGGAGGAAGAGGAGGAGGGAGGAGGAGAGAGAAGAGAAGAGGAGGAGGGAGGAGGAGGAGGAGGAGGAGGAGGAGGAGGAGGAGGAGGAGAGAGGAGGAGGAGGAGGAGGAGGAGGAGGAGGAGGAGGAGGAGGAGGAGGAGGAGGAGGAGGAGGAGGAGGAGGAGGAGGAGGGAGGAGGAGGAGGAGGAGGAGGAGGAGGAGGAGGAGGAGGAGGAGGAGGAGGAGGAGGAGGAGAGAGTCAAGCTCCATGCGTCTCCCTACGACGCACCCGTGCGCGTTTTGCGAAACACCCGCATGTGTTGAGCGCTGCCTCGTGCAGGCCATCGAGGTCTTGGAGGGCTTCTACAAGGCCCAGGGCGCGCTCCTCCAGGAGCGCAGGCAGCCCTCGAACGACTACGTGGCGGCTGCCGGCGCGGCGCCGCCGCCCCCGCCCGCGACGTGGGAGAACCCCGCCTACACTGGCAGGGACAAGGATCGGGGGCCATCAGGGACAAGGTGCCGATACCAGTGCGTTTCCCTCGTTTTCCCCTCTTTGGGTCTCCTGGGAGGCCCTCGTCGCCACCGCGGGATTCGCTTCGACATTCTTGACGCTTCGCGTATCCCCACCAGCTTACTTCTGCCCGCGCGGCCCCAGGCTTCCATTCCCTGGATGCGTGTTCTGATGCTGCGACGGTTCGCTGGCGCTGTCAGAGTACTTTTCCTGCTGGACTGCGTCACCAGTTTCAGTCTGCTCATACCCGTCAGACTCCCTGGACTGACTTCCCGCATGGAGATCGTTCCCTACCTTTGGTCGTCTCGATACGATCACGGCGGGAACGCCCAGCGCGCCATTTTGGCCGCGCTTGGCTCCCCTCGGTGGCTGGCCTCTCAGACTCCCTGGGTTTGCCGTTTGCACGTTTACCTCAGGGGCTGTTCTTGCAGACTCCCTGGGATTACACGCCCGCTGGCCTCTCAGACGCCCCGGGTTGCCGCTGCCCCGCCGCCTGACCCGCGGCTTCGCGCGCGCCCGCTAGTTAGTCGCGGCCGCAGCCCGACCGTGACCGCTCGCCGCTGGCGCTTCCGCCTGCGGCTGTAAAAAAAAATATATCCCCACCAGCATGCCTGGCTCGATCACCTGGCCACGCTGTACCGCCGTTGCCGCCGCTCGCTGCGACGTGGCGTCCCCACCCGCCGGGATGTCGGCGCCAGTCTTCGGTGTTTAATTTGGGTCATTTTGTCCCCTGCATGTGCATGCGCCTCTTCGGCTAATTATCTTCGTTTCGCGCCCCGTTCGATGCCCCGCTTCTTGACCTTTGCCAGGGAGCCGCCAACAAAAAAGTATCCCCACCAGCGGGGTTCCCTCGCTCCCTTGCTGCCTTGCGTCCGAGGGCGATCAAGGCACCCTTGCCTCCCCGTGCCCGAGTGCTGCAGAGGGCAGGCCCGTGCTTGGAGACAAGCCCCCGGACGCTTGCCCCAAGCCACGTGGAGCGGCGCAGGCCAAGGAACGACCGTTACAGCAGTCGCTGGCGTGACAGATGAGTGCTTTACCAGTGTCGGTGGCGTCGGGTGCTACGAGAAGGTGGAGTGGGCGACGCGGACTTGCATCCAAAACATCTGGAGGGTCCCTCTGGCGTGTAACCCCAGCCTCGAGGACGTCCAACAGCACTTACACGGGGTGTCGGCGAGTACCTCATCCCAGGCGGCCGTCTGCCGCAACCCTGGTGTACCGAGGCCCCCTTGTGTACTGAGACCACAAAACTCATAGCAACCGTTAGCTGCACCCCGTCGTGGCACCGCACTGGCAGTGAAGGATATGCGTGAGCTCCTGACCAGCGGCCGTATCCCTGGGTGCCGGTTCCGTAGCCCCCCCAGCGGGGAGGGATCCGCGGGGGCTCAAGGTACTCTTGCACCCCTGTGCCCCTGCCCTCCTCGGCTCCGGCTGTCCGTTTGGGGTCCCCTCGCCCCCTTCTGGCCTAGCGTCCGCGGGCGTTCTAGGCACCCTTGCCTCCCCGTGCCCGAGTGCTGCAGAGGGCAGGCCCGTGCTCAGAGAAGGCTCCCGCCTGCTCCCTGACGGACACCGCATCGGACTCGTGACTGTAGAGGCCGCGGCCACCCTGGAAGCAAGAGAAATCAGCCCCGTGCCGTTGCAGTCGTGCACTCTGAAACGGAGAGGCGTGACAGCCGTTGGGAGGCTGCCCTCTCTCGCTGCAGCAGGTACGGCCCCCCTGGACAACAGACCCACAGCAGGCTGCGCCTACCCTGGGGATGCTCTGCCCCCCTATAATCGCCCCCTCCGTGGGCGCTCCGTCTTCTACCCAACCCTGAGCAGCCGTTAGTTGCATCCCTGGAGTTCGGGCCCGGGCTTTGGCCCTCCCTCTGTCCTCTAATCGCCCCCCCGTGGGCGCTCCGTCTTCTACCCAACCCTGAGCAGCCGTTAGCTGCTTCCCTGGAGTTCGGGCCCGGGCTTCGGCCCTCCCTATGTCCCCCTCCATCGTCAGGTGTCCCTGGTGAGCCCCTCAGCGTGGAGGGCCGGTGATGTCTGTCCCCACCGCCCCTCCCCTCGGATCCCTTCCGGGCAGGGCGGGCTGCCGGGTTCACGTGCCCCTGGATCAACGGGGGTGATCGTCCTCTGTGCAGCTCCTCCCTGGACTCTTCTGCCACGCTGGCGATGTTCATCCCCGCCAGCCTGGCCAGTCCCTCCCGGGCAGGGCGGGCTGCCCGATTCACGTGCCCCTGGATCGCGGGTGTGATCGTTCTCTGTGCAGCTCCTCCCTGGATTCTTCTGCCACGCTGGCGATGTTAATCCCCGCCAGCCTGGCCTGTCACACTCAGTGCGACGCTCACCACGCTTTGACAGCGGGTGGCTGGGGCCAGGCCCTCCGATTTCGCCACAGGGCCGGCGCCCCACGTGCTTGGGATGGTGGGCCTTGGAGCCCCGTGGTCGCTTCGGAGTGGTTCAGCCTTCCGTCAGACGCTGCGCTTCCCCTGGACCCGTCCCAGCCTTTCAGGCAGGTCTTCGATGTCACCTCGGCAGCATAGCCCACCAAGCTTGCATACACCGTTGGTACGGACCTGGACTTGGCGCCCCGCTGGCGACTCGTTCATCGTTCACCTCGCCTGTGCGACCTCCAGGCGTGTGAGGCGTGTAGGCATTACGCGTACGTCCTCGCGCTCTCTGAGTGGTTCACGCCGCAGGGCGTACATAGAATTTTCTGACATTTTGTCGGGCTGCACGTTGCCCGAGCTTCCCTGGGTGCCCTCAGCCTGTCAGCCTCGCCGCGCGGCACAGCAGCTGCTTTGTGAGCTGGCCCGGCCGGCCTGCTGCGCGCCCAGTAGCTGATTAGGCTTGTTTCCGCGCCCCGGACAGCTTCTGACTCCGCCTGCGCCTTCGCTCGCGGACGCGACCGAAAAAGTATCCCCACCAGCATTTGACAGGCCCGTGGCCCGGACCTCTCAGTTCGGCGACTGCGAATCCGCGTCCGCCCGCGACCAAAAAAACAAGTATCCCCACCAGCCCATCCAGAAACGATCAGCAGGGGAGTTGGTGAATCAGGTGCGGCAGGACGCATGCAGTCGCGCAGCCGTCTTCGAGAAAACAAGGATCACAAATAGCTTCCCGCATTGAAGTTTAAGATGGGAATCGGTGCAAGCTACGATGGTGCTTCGATGAGGGGTGAGGGGTGTTTCGATGATTCGTAATGGCTGTTGCACTGATTTGTGTCTTAACCTCGCGTGCGTTCCGAAATTTGGAGGCATCTTGGGGCTCTCCTGGGATTCTCTTGGGCCCCTCTTGGGGCCTCCTGGGGCTCTTTCTTGGGGCTCTCCAGAGGTCCTCTTAGGGCCTTCTTGGGGCTTTTTTGGGGCGTCTTGGCGCCCTCTTGGGGCTCATTGGGGGGGTCTGGGGGCCTTCTTGAGGCTCTTCTGGGATGCCTGAGGGGCCTCTTGGGGACGTCTTGGACCATTTCGCTAAAGAAGAGCGGGGTCCTTAATTCGGACCCCCCATCGGAGGCTCAAAAGTGGCTTCCTGGGACCCTCTTGGCCCGCTCTTGGAGCGCTCTCGGGCGCTCTTGGGGCCGTCTTGGGGCCCTTTTGGATCCCTCTTGTGGTTATCTTGGACCGTCTTGGGGCCATCTTGAGCCTCAAGAGCTCATCGGAGGCGAAAAAGCGAGAAGGCAAACAACATTGGTTTTCATTAGGTTTTTGAATTATTTTTGGCCTCTTGGGGGGGTCCTCGGAGGCCTCGGACAGCACTTGAAACCGTCTTGGGGCCGTCTTGAGACCTCTTGGACGTGTATCGGAGGCTATCTTGACCCATCTACAGCTATCTTGGGCCATCTTGGAGGCCATTTTGTGCTCTCTGAGGCCCTCTTGGAGCCATCTTGGGCCATCTTGGACGCTGCTATGGGTCGGGCCCCCCCCGTCCAAACGCATCGAGGGGGGGGAGGTAAACCTCCCAAGCAGGGAAAGGAAGGAGGTTGGAAAAGGAAACGCTCTAGACCACCTGCGCCCAGAGGGCTGGTGGGATTCTAGTCAGAGCGCGCCCCGGGAGAGGTCCGGGTAGTAGCGGTATCGGTGCAATTCGGTTTTCCCAGATAGGTCCTGGAGGGGAATGCATCGACCCCCGATCGCCCACTGATCGCCGATAGGGGCCCGATGGCCCCAGCCTGCCCACGAACGTGGGGATCCACAATCGGGGGCCTATCGCCGATTTATCGGCGATGCATCGCCGATTCCAGGCCAGGGATCCTCTCGGCGGCGTGCCCAGGGGGGAGGCGGAGGGCGCGGGCCTCCTCAGAAGGCTCGTGTGGTCTCCGGCCTTCTGAGAAGCTCCCGGAGCCTTCTCAGAAGCCGCAGGGATCTTCTCCGAAGGCCAGAGGGCTTCGGCGGCGCCCCTCCGCCTTCTCAGGAGGTTTGCCCCCCCCCCCCCCCCCCCCCCCTCTTTCTTCCAGGTCTATCGTTGGAGCCCTCTTGGGGCCGTCTCTTGAGGACCCCCCTGGGGGTTGTCTCCCCTGGCCAGCTTCTGGCGCCTCTTGAGGGGCCTCTTTGGGGCCGTCTCGGGGGCGGTCTCGGTCGTCTCTGGGGCCGTCCTTTGGGGCCGTCGACCCTCTGGCGCGCCGCCGATCCTGCGGCGTGCAGCTGGTTTCGTTCCCGCCGCCGGGCGCCTCTCCTCGATGCATGGGCGCCTCCCGGCAGCCAGGAGGCGGCGTGAGAACCAGCTACCCAGCCACGTGCGCCGATTCGCTGGTCCCCGGAGGAGGAGGAGGCGGAGGAGGCGGAGGAGGAGGAGGAGGAGTAGGAGGAGGAGGGGGAGGAGGAGCAGCAGGAGGAGGAGGAGGAAGAGGAGGAGGAGGAGGACCAGTGCAAAGCCAAGACTCATCAAGGATATTGAAATACATCTTTCCTTCAAGCTCCGTCTTCATAGTCCCCATACAAGGGTTCATTTTTACTAGCTAGGGAAGTGCCCTGCTGGGAGACAACCGTTGGAAGTCCCTGGAGCGTGCGAAAACACCATTGTTGGAGCTTCAGCGCCACGAATCAACTTGCCTGTTGCGTCTTGGCCATCCCGAATCGTGCCATTACGCAGTTCCTGGAACTCCAGCACGGTGAGTCAGCATAATTGTTGAGCTCTCTGACAGTCCTGACCTGTTCCTGAACGCAGTCTCTGGTAGGATAACCATGGGAGTCCGTGAAACTCCTGCATCTACTTCAGGCGAATACGGCGCTAAAGCGACATTCGTGGTTATCCCATCCTGAAAACATCTGCAAGTGTTTACAACGAACATTTTGAAATACCATAAATCTACATCTGCGAGCATCTGCAAATGTTTGCATAGTTGTGAACCATGAGAGCCACATTTTGAAAAAGGGAGCGCCCTCCGTCCGTGAGACATCTGCACATGTGTACCGCGAGTGTGCGCGGCGCTGCGGCTCGAGCCGCATTTTGACAACGGCCCGCCACCAATCCGTGAAGCTCGTGGGAATCACCCACACACACACTGTGGGAACAAAAACACACACTGTGGGAAACAACACACACACTGTGGGAACACAACACACACTGTGTGTTGTTTCCCCAACAGACTGTGTGTGTTTTTTCCCACAGCATGTTTTAAGACGAGTGTGCGCGGCGCTCAGGCGGCAGGAACAGTTTGGAAGCGGCCCGCCCTCCATCCGTGAAGCTGCTGCCAGTTCTACAACTTCAGGATCAGGCGAAACGCCTGGCCCTTCTGAGTGGCCTCAGGGTGCGACAGGGAGGAGTTATCTAGACGGAAAAGGAATGGAGGAGGAGGAGGAGCAGGAGGAGGAGGAACAGGAGGAGGAGGAGGACGAGGAGGAGGAGGATGGACAGCATAAGCAGGGTGGACCCCACTTTCGCGATCCGCCGCCTGAGACCACTGTCAGTCTCGCGAAGGCCACCGTACGCTTGGCGAGGTGGAGTCACCAGATTGAGCACCGATGCCGAGCCCACCAGTTCTGCCGCAACCGCTGCTGCTAAACGTGAGGGGTGGTGTGCCCCAGCACGGACACCAAAGGTACTATTGTGCAACAGCGCGAGCACCACCGCGCGTTGGATATGCATGGATAAATCCCCGCCTCGCAGACAAGATCTTGGCACGGCCAAGGCCCAGGTTCTTCGCTGTTGTCGCACCCCCAGGAGTCGCCTGCGGGCCCAGGAACTGCGCAAAAACGGCCCGAGACGAAAAACCGAATCCCCGGGGAAGGTGCAGCGAGGTCCGAGAACCAGGCGTAAGAGAACACGACAGCGGAGCCCTGGGAAGCGAAGAAGGTCGGACGGGGCGATGACGAGGATGATAAATAAATCCGTTCCAGAGCGTTCCAGAACACTCTCAGAGCGTTCCGGAGCCCTCTGAGAAGGCCACGGCGCCCAATCCATCCTCCAGAGCCGCCGGATCTCAGAGATTCTCGAGTTGTCGTCACCCGAATTTATCCTCATCCCGGCTTTGTCTAATAGTATAGGAACTATATAAGCGTAAACATGAATGTTCGGCGGTCTGCGCGGGCTTTTCGGATCGGCGCTGGACCCCCGTCCCTGGCGCCGGATGAGGCGCGCCAGGGCTGGGGCCTTCTGGGGGGCCGTCTGGGTGCCGTCTCGGGCCATCTTGGGGCGCTCTTGAGGGCCTCTTGCGCCGTCTTGGGGCGATCTCGGGGGCCTGGTGGGCCGGCTTGGAGCGTCGAGCGCCCGGAAAGGCGAGAAGTCCATGATTTAGGGGGTCCAGCGCCGATCTGGGAAGTCCGTGCGGACCTCCGAGAGTCCATGCTCAGGCAGGCCTCGAATCGAGATAAATCCCGTCCAGAGCGCTCCGGAACGCTCTCAGAGCGCTCGGGGACGCTCTGAAACGGCCGCGGCGCCCGAGGCGTCCTCCGAACCCGCCGACTCTCAGAGAGTTCCGCTTCACATCGGTCCGATTTTGTATCAATTCTGCGCCCGTCCCGTCCTGGGCTCAGTTCGGCAACATCCTCGGCTTAATGGCCCCGCAATCGGGCGCAATTGCCTCTACCTGTTCTTGCGGAGACCCCCCACAACCTGCCTCCTAACTTTCTCACCCCCAAGGAGTCGAGCGGCATCCTGGCCATCCTGACCATGATCAAGGAGGACATCGACAAGGACCGGGTCAAGGCCCAGAAGGCCGAGGACGACGCACAGAAGCACTACGACGAGTTCAGCGGAGAGTGCGGGACTCAGATCGGGGACTTGAATGGAGCCATCACCGAGCTGCAGGGCACCATCGGCGAGAAGGAGACCGAGGTGGAGGAAGCCGTTGGGCAGCGCAGCACCAAGAAGGGTGAACTCACGGCACTCATCCAGAGCATCAAGGGGCTGCAGCCAGGTTGCGACTACATGCTCGTCAATTACGTCGTGCGGAGTGCCAACCGGAAGATTGAGATCGACGGGCTCGAGAAAGCCAAAGCTATTCTCAAGGGTGCCGCGTTCGACGAGTCGGACCCTAACCGCGAGCTGGTCCCTGGCGACGCCTTGGTTCAAAAGTGAGGTTGAGGCTGGCACTCCTCCTGCCCCACCCTTCCTTCTCGCTCGTTCTCTCACTAGGGCAGGAAGCACGAAGTCCGCGCTGGCAGGAAAGAGAATCCATTTGCCTTTCCGCGCGTTTCCGACACCGCGCCTGGGTAATCAGGCGGCGCAGCAATGGTTCAGCGTTGCACGCTCTGCCGTTGCATGGTTGTCGCGCTGCTACCTGGTGGCGATGCTGCTTGGTGGCGCCACGTGGCCGCTTCCGGAAACACTAAACCCCCGAAACGCTCCCGTCCCTGAGGAGCGCATCTCTCACAGTGGAAACCCATGCCAAGAATCACCCTGCTTGCCTCCAGGGTGCCCTGGGGTTTTTGGGTTTCGATGGTTTGGTGTGGACAGCGTGACTTCCCCAGGCCAGGAATCAACGGACGTCCTGGGATCTCAGGGTTGGGCTTCTTGTAGAAGGTTTCTTGTGGTCGAGCTCCTGCTGCACTTCTTTTTTACCAACAGTACACCCTCTAAGTGTCACTCTGGATGTCCTTGCGACGGGCCCAATCAAAAACTACCGAGTTCTCGGCGCAGCATAATTCACTCGAGAACGAATTTGCTGGGGCCTGAAGGGAGCGCAGAGGCAGGGAAGGCAGGAAGCGTGGGCCCTCCTCTAAGGGGATGGCACTTCGAGAGCGGCCGCTTCAGGACCCTCTAGTCCCACGGCATGCCCTCGACCCAACAGCTACCCAGCTTCCCAATTCTCTCGCGAGGCCCAAGATTACATGGACCCACATCCGTTCCAGGGGCCTAACAAGTTCCAGACCTGAACCGATCTAATCCACGGGGCTCTCTGGAGACCTCAGCAGAGGCGCTCACTTCTTCTTGGAACGCTTGGAATCCTTCTTGCCACCGCCGCCGCTGCCGCCGCCCTTGAACACGATCCTCTCTAGCTACTTCGCGGCCTTGCTCCTCTGGGCGGAGTCGTCCTCGAGCACCACGTTCACCGACTGCAGGCCGCGTGGAGGATGCGACATAGCAGCGAATATCCACTTGGTTTCTTCCACTGTCTTGCCGTCGACGTCTGTCTTCGTCTGAACGTCGAAGCAGCGGGTCGCTTGGAGCTTCACCTCCTTGTCGTTCAAACTCTTGCCGAAGTCGACCACCAGGTGCAGCACCTCTTTCGACTTGGCTGGGTGTGGCCCTTGGGCCACTGCTGCGCGAACGTCCTCGAGCCTGCCCTCGATCGCCTCGCTCAGGCGGAACAGCAACATGCGGAGGTACGCGTCGGGCTTTCCCATGCGGGTGGCCGCGATATTCGCTGGGCTCGACCGCGGCGCGCGCCTCCTTCCCGACCTTCTGGTAGTTCTGGATGCCCGCCGCGAGCGCCAGCTGCATCTGGGAGCCCGTCTTCAGCTTCCCCACCACGTTCTGGTCGCGCGCCGAGCCCCTGAAGTTGTCCTCGTGCTGGAGCAGCAGCCTCGTCATGAGCTTGTCCTTCTTCGAGATGCCAGGCGGCTCCGCTTCCTCGGGTTCGGCTCCGCCCTCGCCGACCTCGGCCTTGGCCGCGTCCCTCTTCTTGATGATGTCCGCCGCAGGCTCGAACATCTGGAGGGGGTGCCGAGGGGGGTGGCGGTGGCACCGCAGGTGGCCCTGGAGCGTGCTGAGAGCCAACGCGCTGAGGGCAACGGTGTTGGACATGGCGAAGGAGGACATCCTTACGAGAAAACGTAGCACTGCAGAAGGGGCATCTCTTAGCTCTCAAGTCGTCTACGGGGATACCCAAACGATTAGCAACAACACCGTGGACCGCGAACCTGTGATTCTCTAACCCTTCCTGGCCATGACATATTCTTTCTACAGTCTGGGCAAACGAGGCGATGTGCTTCATCAATGTCTCCAGCTTCGCGGAGTTGGTCGCTCTCAGCTTCGTGTGAGAGGACGGCCTTGAGCTCTGCATGTGAGAGCATGTCCAGCCACTCCAGCCAATCTCGTGAAACACTCGGCGAATCATTCGGAGCGCGCAGCTGGCTCTCCACAGAAAGACAGGCCCACAACGCACGAAGATCTGCGAGAAGCTGCCCCAATCGACAATTATGATTTCGACTGGGGGTCCTCGAACGATAGTCTGCCGAATTTTACAGCCTGTACAGCCTCGGTGGGGTCATACTCTGGGGGTTCTGGTAGCCCAGGAGCAATCACATGTCGCCACCACTGAAGCCTACGATAAAGTAAAGTAGAACTCATGCTATAGACTTTGGCACGACGTCGAATACCTGCATTAGAGACATGGAGAAGGTGAGCGGGGGAACGAAGATTATGTCCAAGTTTCTTGGTTAGCCAGCGTTCGAGTTTCTTCAAATCCGTCTTCGTGAGGAAGGCAACTTCTGGTGCATATACGGCGATTGACGGTACCAGCGAATTCCACAAGCGTATCTTTCAACGCGTGCTGAGATTCCCCTTCAGCACCTTCTGGGACAGCCGGCCGTGGGCTTGGTTGGCGGAAGTCAGGCGGGCCTTGACCTCAGCCGAGCACGAGCCCGTCGCCGAAAGCTAGCAGCCAAGGTGCTTTACAGTCGGCGTCGGGTGGATCGCACGAGCCTGGCCGTCGGCGTGGGTCAAGCTGATGCCAGTCTGCTTAGTATAGATTTTCTTCCTTGCCCTCCGGCACCCCTTCCCCACAGCACTCACCATCAGCTCGGTTCTCGGGGCATTCATGGTTAAGCCGCTGGCATCAACGTTGGTCCGCAGAAACTCTAGGAACTCGGAGACGGTCGCTAAGTCGTCGACCACCGTCAACGCGATTAGATCATCTACGAACTTGACCTGGGACGCATCTAATGACCTCAACTCGAAAACCATGAAACCGACCAAATTCCTGCAGACCTGGAACTGGGGGTCGTACTGCCTGGACGCCCTGGAAACCTTCCTCCAACGCCTTGGAGCCGATGTCCTTAGTGATGAGATCGTAGATAGCGATAAAAGGCCCTGGCCCCTCTACACTTCCTTGCCGTACACCTTTGCGAATAAGTAGTTGCCTACAGGGTCTGTTAGTTCGGGCATCTCGGAGGATATAGCAGCTCCCATTGTAGAGCTCTTCTGTAACCAGACGGGTGCCACGGGAGAGCGCCAGCTTATCTAGGGCCTCCCAGATTTGACTTCGAGTCAGGAGGCCGAAGGCCTTCTCAAGGTCGATCAATGCTGCAATCAAGATGCGATAGCTGGTCTTGGTGCGACAGGGGTTGTCCCGAAAGCGACGGCCGATCTCGTCGACAAGGGCGATGGCGTCTCGCTTCGATCGACCTTGAAGGGCCCCGGACGGAGTACAGCCGGGGCCCGGAAGAAGGAACTCTTATCGTTGGGTAGGGGCTCCGTGTCATCCTTAATTGTTTCACAGTTTGCCCCACGTTTTCCTTAGGTGTTCGATAGGAAGTCTAAGTTTAACTTGTGGCAAAACGGGGCCTCGTTCCTTATTCAGGGTTCCTTGGGTCAACGCCCCGACTGTAGCAGAGAGCTGGCCTGACACTGCACGCAGCTCGGGCATGATGACCACGTTGGCGCAAGCTTTGCCGACGTGGCCAATAAGATTGATCGTCCTGTAGTGATCCTTGGCATGCCTCCCATCCCCTCGAGGTTTTAGCAGTGAAGCCGTCTCGCCATTCTCTAACCTTTGTGGAACGCTGCGGAAGGCTTGGGCGGCCTGAAAGACTCCAAGAAGAGGGCCCCCTACAAGATCACCTCCTAACTTCCAGAGTTCAGCTACAGCAGCACCTTCGGGATCCTGTCGAGGCCCATTGGATATCGAGGGGTCCGTCCACTTCAGCACGGGGGCGCTCTTGAAGTTGGGGAGCCTGCTGAGGGCCATCGTGATATCAGAGAGAGCGTGATCCACCGCCGCTTTACTGTGGAAAATTCCCCCCCTCTTCCTCCGGAACCCGCGTTCCCCCCCCCTCCGAAAATTCTCCCCTTGCTGGAACCCCCCTCCCTTCCCCCGGCAAAACCCCACCCCTCCCCTAACCCCCCCCTCCCCCCTCCCCTCCAGAAAACCAGAGGAAGGTCACTACCGGTTCGACCCCCCTTGGAAAACCGGGGATGGGGTCACTACCGGTTCGAACCCCTCCCCCCCCCCCCCCCCCAGAAAACCAGAGGAAGGTCGGTTCGACCCCCCCCCCTCCTCCAGAAAACCGGGGGGGGTTCGAACTGGTAGTGACCCCCCCCCCTCGGAGGGGGTTCGAACCCCCTCGGGGGGGGTCACTACCCCGAGGGGGGCCCCCCCTCGAAAACCGGGGGGGGTCACTCTGTTCGAACCCCCCCCCTTCGAAAACTGGGCGGCGGGGGGTCACTACCGGTTCGAACCCCCCCCCCTCCCCCTCGAAAGCCTGGGGGGGTCACTACCGGTTTGAACCCCTCCCCCCCCGCTCACCGCCAGCAAACGACTCCCGGTCCCTACCACCGTCCGCACCACATCCCCCGCTTTTGTTCCCAGCACCACTGTCCTCACCACCACTATCCCCACTGGTTCCACCACCGTCCCTACTGTCCCCACCAGTGCCCCCACCACTGTCGCACTGTCCCCACTGTCCCCACTGTTCCCACCATGGTTCCACTCTCCCCACTTTCTCCGCGGCCCCAACCACTGCCCGACTGTCCCCACTGTCCCCACTGTCTCCTCCGCTGTCCCACTGAGCTGTCCCACTGTTCCCACCACTGCCCCCACTGTCCCCACCACTGTTCCCACTGTACCTCTGTCCCATTGTCCCACCGCCGTCCTCGCCACCGCCCTCACCACTGTCCCCACCACCATCGTACCCTCCACTGTCCCACTGTTTCCACCACATTCCCACCGTCCCCACACCACTGTCCCACTGTCCCCTCTGTTCCCACCATTGTCCCCGCTGTCCCCACTGTGTCAATGTGCCCACTCTCCCCACCATTGTCCCACCACGGTCCCACTCTCCCCACTTTCCCCACGGTCCCCACCACTGTCCCACTGCCCCCACTGTACCCACTACTGTCCCTCTGTCCCCGCCGCTGTCCCACTGTGCTGTCCTAGCGTCCCCACTGTCCCCATCACTGTTCCACTGTCCCCACTGTCCCCACCACTTTCCCCACTGCTACTGTCCCACCACTGTCCTCACCACCGCCTTCACCACTGTCCCCACCACTACCGTCCCCACCACTGTCCCACTGTTCCCACCACCGTCCCGCTGTCCCCTCACCACTGTCACCACCACCACCGTCCCCACCATCCGCACCCCCCCTTCCGGTTTTCGAGGGGGGGGGGGTTCGAACCGGTAGTGACCCCCCCCCGGTTTTCGAAGGGGTGGGGGTGTGGGGGGGGGTTCGAACCGGTAGTGCCCCCCCCTCCTTTTCATGATGGACTGGGGGGTGGGGAGGAGGGGTTCGAACCGGTAGTGACCCCCCCCGGTTTTCCGGAGGGGGGGGGTCGAACCGGTAGTGACCCCCCCCCGGTTTTCCGCCAGCAGCGGTAGAACACGCTCTTTTTGATATCATCCACGTCGTACTGGCCTACGAGTTCCACGTCGGGCTCCTCGGGGATGTCCTGGGGGCCTCCATCCTCATGCATGGGCAGCTCAGTGGCCTCAAAGATGGCACAGGGAGCATCGGTGCAGACCTGTTGGTCCTCGTCGTCGTCGAAGCACGGGTAGCCCGTGGCTGGGTTGCGGACGGTTAGCATGGGCATGCGGGGCTTAGGCGCGAGGCGCTTGACGATCGAGTAGCAGCGTCGGATATCATGTACTGCATCTGCCCGCTCCGCGTCGGCAACCAGGGCCGCAATGTGCTGTCGCTTCTCCGATCGCGCTGCCTGCTTGGCCCGCTTTGCCGCCATCCGAAATTGCGATAATATAGATTTGTATAGCCACGAGCTGTAGTCGACGATGTTGGGTAGCATTCTCTGAAAGTACTGCTTGCGTTTGATCAAATCCAAGGTAGCATCAGTGAGGTTCTTCTGTGGGGTCACCTTCGGGGAATCAACATAGAGCGGGTAAGCTGCGTCAACAACTGCTCCCTCCACTGAATTGTAATAGCTGGATGTCGAGGTATAGCGTTGGTTGATGCCACGCTCCTGCTGCCAGTGTCCTTGAATAGCACGGGCCTGTAGTTCATGGCGGAGCCGACTGCGAAAATCTTGCACCCGTGCTGGTATGTAGTCGGAATGCTGAACAACTTTGAGATCTTGGAGCAGAAGGTCGCGGTTCCATCTAACAGGTGGGTCTTGCCGAAGCCGCTCACATCGAAATCTCATAGATGTCGTTGCCTCAAAGGGGCGGTGGTCGCGGAATCCTCCCATGCTAACGGGCAGAGAATGTAAAATTCGAGTTCCATGTCCGTAACCTCCTTGCAGTCTGGTGCATATGTAGCCAATATGGTTTCATGTCGTGCCATCAGTGTGCAGCCAAGTCCCCACGTTCTTCTTTCAACTGCCATGCGTGTTCAACGCTGTCATTCCGTTATTCTGAAGAATGGAAAAGAAGTGGCCGCCGTTCAAATTTGTGGTTCTCGGTTGTCTGTCAACGCCCGCATTGCCAACATAAGGAAGTTCAGGCGCCACAGTACCATTAGCATCTAGGCACCAAGTCAATGATGATCTCTGGGGCATTCTCCGTATAATCTCGTCACGAGTCTGCCAAAAAAGAGCCTGTGCTTGTCTGTGTTCAGCTTGTACTCGGTCTTTGTCAGTTGCCACCAGATGAGTGCTCGCTGTGTTGGTCGGCGCGTAGCCGTTCAAAATGTAGAGGTCTCCCTCACAAGCTCCTGTTCGTCGAACGCGTATTCCTAGGAGCCTGCTTGGTAGCCATTCGTGGACGCATCGGACCTCCAGCGGGTCGAAAAAGTGTAGATTAAGCGCCGTCAAGCAGCCGTACTCAGCACGTGAGGATGTGTAGACGCGACAGCCCGCGCTGGTCCATGACATGGTGGCACCCATGAGAGTGCTTTGAAAGCATACTATAGCGATATGCTGCTCACTTGCGTGTCTTAACAATTATCCCAAGGTGTCGATGCATATCAGTGATTCTGTGTTGTAGCTCCATACCTTCATGATGTGGGTTGGTCTCGGTCTTCGTGGTCTGGGTCTGGGTGGTCGCGGCGAGCTCGAGGAAACGTCGGTGACCATCGGAAAGGACGTCACATCGTGCTTAGAATTGTAGGAAACCATGGGGCGCGTCGATACCAACTGCAGCCTGCCACCATCGCGAGCCTCGCCGCACGTCTCCAAGCCCGTTTGCCACCCATGAGCCCCGATTCCAGCCTGCGCTTGTCGTCGTGGGACGCCTGCACGTCGTCCTCAGAGGTCGGGCAGCCTCCGAACGCTCACCTCGCTGGCTTCGAAGCGACTAGCAGCGCCCCGCTGTGCCACGGGGATCGCTCATGGCAGGACTGGCAGGGCGCGCGCGCGGGTCGCAGCCAAGGGGGGGCTTGCGACCCCCCTCCCTGTCGGAGGCAAACGGATCCTTTGAGCCGCCGAGGCTTTGCTGTACTTCCGCTGGCTTCCGCCGGCCTTCCGTCAGCTTCCGCCGCTGGAGGCGGCTTCGTTCTACTTCCGCCGCCCTGCGCCCGGTCTTCCTCCGCCTTCCGCAAAGGAAGCGGGGCCAATTCTCTCGATCCTCGAAGGTGAGGCCCTTTCCCTGGAACGCTCCACGTCGCTACGCCGCGGCATGAAGCGAGCGTGTGTCTGCGCATGCTCGTGGGGCCTCGAGGGGGGGCTTCGGAGGTGCGGGGGGGGGGGGTCGTCGCAGGCGGACAGTGCGCCCACGCGAGGCCGTGCCCCCAGGCAAAATAGGCCAGGCTGGCCTGGAGCTCGCTCCCCTGCCAGTGGAGGTCGCCTCCGTGCATCGAGTGGGGGATCGACGGCAGAGTTGATCTATCCCCAAATTGATTTCGGCATCGAATCTACGAAACAGATGCGCAGAATAATTGAGCGTTTTGATGAATTATATAAATATGTATGTCCTATAGATCTACATGAACAAGTATAGTAAAGCAACGTGTCTACATGTATGCGCGCACGTTCATCTACCTGATATAGCTATACATAAATGTCATGTTGCATGCATGTTTTGGATGTATGCATCCATGCATGCATATGTATATGTTTATATAAGCCTATATGTGTATGCATGTGTGTATGTATGTATGTATGTATGTATGTATGGATGGATGAATGGATGGATGGATGGATGGATGTATGTATGTATATATTTGCGTATGTATGCACGTACGTACGTATGTATGTATGCACGGATGCATGAATGCATGTATGTATGTATGCATGGATGTATGTGTGCGATAATGTATGCGCACATGCATGTATGTACGTATTTGTGTGTATGCGTGTATGTCTGCACACCTACACCTACGCATATGTTTGTATGTGTGTATGTATGCATGTTTGTATGTGTATGTATGTATGTATGTATGCGTGTATGTATGTATGCGTGTATGTATGTATGCGTGCATGCATGCACGCGTGCATGTATGTACGTATGCACGTATGCACGTATGTAAATATGTATGTAAGTGTGTATGTATGTATGAATGTATGCATGTATGCATGTATGCATGTATGCATGTATGCATGTATGTATGTATGCATGTATGCATGGCATGTATGCATGTATGCATGTATGCATGTATGCGTGTATGCATATATGCACGTATGCATGCATGTATGTATGTATGTATGTATGTATGTGTGTATGTATGTGTGCAGGTGTGCATGTCTGTGTTTGTGTCTATGCCTGCCTGTCTGTCTGTCAGTCTGTCTGTCTGTCTGTCTGTCTGTCTGTATATATGTCTGCCTGTATGTATGTATGTATGGATGTATGTATGTATGTATGGATGGATGTATGCGTGAACTTGGGAACGTACATTCTGCGTGTTTGTTTGCCACCGATTCGACTCACACATCAACGCTGGGGTACATAAATTCCGTAGTCGATCTCTCATTCGAACGCAGCGTCGCCTTGCACGCAGGCTGGCGATCTGGCACCCAACGCCTGCCCGCCCTTCGCCCGTGCCTGCATCGTAGCTTGCGACGAAGAAACCAAGCTGGCATGAACAGCAACTTTCGACGGTCCGCGGGGATCTCTCGGATCTGCGCCGAATGAAGGGGATGTTTCGCGACGGCGAGCCTCGGCCACGAATGCGTCCCCCGACCCAGAATTCAGGAACGGCCCGAGGGCCAGGGCGTCGTGACGGTCGGCAGAGCAGACACGGAGGCAGGCTTGCGCCCGAGCAGGCGTGCAGACGTGCGCGTAGTCCTGCCCGGCCAGTCGCCCCCTCCGATGAGCGATGTGTAATTCCACTGGCCATCAGATTGCCCTCCTCCCTCCTCCTCCCTCGCCTTCCTCGTCGCGCCCTTCTCCCTCCTACCTCCTCCCTCGTCCCTCGTCCATTCCTCCTCCCTCCTCCCTCTTTCTCCCTCTTTCTCCCTCCTCCCCCCTCCTCCCTCCTCCTCCCTCCTCCCTTTCCCGTTCTCTCTCCCTCTCCTCTTTTCTCTCCTCCCTCCTCATCCTCCTCCTCCTCATCCTCCTCCCTCCTCCCTCGCCTTCCTCCTCCCTCCTCCTCCTCCCTCCTCCCTCTCCTCCCTCGCCTTCCTCGTCGCGCCCTCCTCCCCCTCCCGCCGCCGCTGAGGCCCAGGGCGCGGCCCCCTCTGCCCCGCAGCCCTCGCGTCCAGCGCTGGCCAGCGACCCCGCCCGGCCGACACCGCGCGCCGCAAGGCGCCCTGTCAATGAAGTCGGGAGCCGGCGCCCTGCTCCTGGCCGTGTGGCTCGCCGACGGCGGCGGCGACGACGAGGGCGACGACGGGGAAAACGACGACCACAACGACGACGACCACCACCACGACGACGACGACGACCACGGCGTCGACCACGACGACGACCACGACGACGACGATGACGACGCCGACGACGACGACGACGGCTGCGGCGGCGGCGACGATGACGAGGGCGACGACCCAGACATGCTCGCGCCGCGAGAAAATCATGGCGGGAGGTTTTTTGGCCACTTTCGGGTTCTGGGATGCCTCGCCGTTCTCGGGGCCGTCAACAAACGACTCGGGATGAAACACCAGCCCTGGGGAAAGGGGCATGACTTCAGGGGACCGCGTATGGACAAAACCAGCATCTCGCATGTCTGGGGACGTCCCCTGAGATTCGGGCGTTGCGTTTTTTTCATACCAGGCGTCTTCGCCCGGTGTCGGTCCCCAGGGCCATCGCAGATCGACCCGGCTCGAGGGAGGCCGAAGGAACGGTGCGGTCTAGTGCTCTGGACGTGGTTTTGTCACGCAGTTGCATGTTCTTTCGCAACGTCGGATCTCAGGGGACGACGTTGACGGCGGCGACGACGCTGACAGCGGCGACGACGCTGCCGGCGGCGTTGACGGCTACGTACGATGACGGCTCCGACTGGCCAGAGGTTTCGAGGCGGATCCAGCCGTTGTGGAGATAAGAGCTCTTCTATCCTAGATCCTCGTATTCTTCTCCGACCAGAATCTTTGGGGAAGAACAAATTGCATAAGCGTTAAACATCGAAGGTCCGCGCAGAGTTCTCGGATCGGCGCTGGGTCCCGCTCCCTGGCGCGCGGAGCGCGCCAGGGGCCGCGCCGGATGCGCCGCCACGAGACCCCAGCGCCGATCCGAGAAATCTGCGCGAACCTCAGAGTTTCGATGTTTTTGTTGTTGCAGATTCTTCGAAATCCAGACGAACTCGGTGTGCTCCTCGAACCTCGATCCTCGATCCTCTTCCTCCCGAACAGCGATTCTCGATCCACGAACCTCCATCCTATCCTCTTCTCTCGATCCTCTTCTCTAAATCCAGTGAAAACCGGTCCCTGGAGCCCTCCCCCTTCCATGGTCCATCCTCGCCACCTCCTCTTGCTTCTTCGACGGCCCTGGGCCCCGCAGCGGGCTTCCGGAGGCGGGATGTCGAGGAACAACGTCGACTCTCAAGTCTCGATCCTCGATCCTCGAACCTCCACGACGATGTAGAAGACGAGGACAACGACGACGACGATGTCAACAACGACGACGAGGACGACAACCATGTCGACGACGATGACGACAACGACGACGACGACGAGGAGGACGACGACACCGGCGGCGGCGGCGGCAACGGCGGCGGATGCGGCGGCGGCGGCGGTGGCGGCGACGGCGACGGCTGCGGCGGCGGCGACGGCGACGGCGACGACGACGGCGACGACGACGACGACAACCACGACGACGACAACCACGACGACGGCGGCGGCGGCGATGACGACGACGGCGACGACGATGACGACGACGACGACCACGACGACCACGACCACGACGACGACGACCACGACGACGACGACGCCGACGACGCCGAGGACGACGACGACGACGACCACCACGACGACGACGGCGACGGCGACAGCGGCGACGGCGACGGCGGCGACGGCGACGACGGCGGCGACGACGACGTCCTCGCCGAGGCTCGCCGCCGCGAGGACGGCGGCTGGCGCAGACGCCCTCGACGGCCTAAGCCCCGTGACGCGCGTGGTTGAGCTGCTCAAGGACCGCCGCCGAGGCTGCCGCCGCCGCCACCGTCGCCGTCGCCGTCGCCGCCGCCGCCGCCGCTGTCGTCGTCGTCGTCGTCGTCGTCGTCGTCGTCGTCGGCGTCGTCGTCGTCGTCGTCGGCGTCGGCGTCATTGTCGAGGATCGTGATTTTCCAGAGGGCGCCCCCTTTGGCCACGGTGGGGTCTGTTCCGAATGTCTGATCAAGGGCGGTGTCGTTTCGTCGCCGTCGCCGTCGCCGGCGGCACGCTGCGAAAGGCAACCACGGGCATCAGGCTTGATTCGCGCTTTCGTGAGGGGGTGCACCTTTTCTTTGGCAGTGCGAGTCGTGTCACTGTGCCAGCTGAGACGTAAAGCACACGGTGGGGCTTTGCGTGGAAAGATAGTAGCCTCGCCCAGCTGTTCGCACTCGTTCTTCAACCACAGCTTGCTGTCTAGTCTATACATATTGTGAAGGCCTGACGGCCGGTGCCGCCGACCCTGAAAGACATCGACGACGACCAGGAGGGGGCGGAGGAGAAGGAGGAGGAGGAGGAGGCGAAGTGAAGGAGGAGGAGGAGGAGGAGGAGAAGGAGGAGGAAAAGGAGCCCCCCCTGGGCCCCCCCCCTGGGGAGGAGAACCGGAGGAGGACTGGCGTGGGAGAGAGGAGAGAGGAGGGGAGGGGGAGGAGAACCCCCAGGGACGGATGCGTATTTGACTCCCCCCCCCCCTGAGACTCCTCCCCACCTGGGGTCTATATTTCGTTCTGCGTGGCCTGTGGGTCGGGAGCGCAGTCGCCACCGGAGCGGCATGCTTGGCGACCTGCTGTGCAGGCCATCTCGTGCGCTCTCTCTCTTCGTCGATTTCGGCGACGACGTCTACAAATCGAGAGCGTGACAGCGGCTCGCGGCCGCATCGTCATACCCAGTCAGTTTCTTGCTACGACGTGGGCTCTTCCCTATCGTCTCCCGCCACTTCCTTTCTTTCTATCGTCCTCCTCTTGCTCCCCCTCCTCCTCCTCCTTCTCCTCCTCCTCCTTCGCTTCCTCTACCTCTCCGCCACTAGACTGCGGCCCCCAGGACGTCGCCAACTTTTGAATCTTCACACTCGAACCCTCTCCGCCGCTGAGACTTTCCCAGTGCGCGGCGCCCAGCAGCGCGCGCAGTGGTTTCGCACCAGCGCCACAGTTTCACGGGCCCAGGTCAACAGCCTGGGGGCCCCAGAAACGGTTCATCTTGAAAGCGTTGTTGTTGATTGCTTTGTTTGCGTGTGTGTGTGTGTGTGTGTGTGTTTTGGATTCGTCGTTTTCCTACGAAAAGTATGATCTTTGGACTCTGTCTGACAGGCTGAACACGATCCAGAACGCTGTGTTCGTTTTTTTGCGTTTTCAGGCTCGTCGCCGTGGACCATCATTTTTGAAGTCTTTGTGCTGCTCTCTCGTCGAAGGCTGATCCTTGTCTTCCCTGCCGCCTTCGCTCTCGCTCTCCTGTTCCTGCTGCCTCCCGTTCCTTCCGCTCCGCGCGCAAAACTAAAAACGCCAAACTACACGCCCTAACACCGGTCTAGCACCGGCCCAGAGGCCCTGCGACCAGCCAGCAGCGACGGCCAGAGAAGAGCAAAAGGAACACGAAAAATAAGAATACGAATCATATCGGGAGAACTAGACGCAAGGAGAAGGAACTGATGACGTCGTAGACGGTAATGTGAAACAGCGCAATGAACGGATCTGCAAACGCCCCAAAGACGGGTCTTAACACGCAGAAGCAACTCATACATGTTTTCAGGTATTTTAGTCATTTGTTGGGACGCGACAGCGCAAATCAAAGCGGATGTTCAACACGCCGGGCTTTAAACCAACAGCAACTAACGGTAAAACACGCCCAGGGCATATTCAAGATGAGCGCAGGCTGAGCCAAACATGCCTCCCCCAGAGCAAAACCAGAAGAGGCCATAGTGCACTAGTTTGAAGGCTTGGATTGATTTCTGATCAGACCTGTGGGGGTGGGAGTCTGTGCGGTTGTTCCTTGGGGCCCCCTTGGGCCCTTCGGGAGTGACCAGCTGGCCGCGGCTTCAGGACCTTCAGAAGCTGTGCGAGGAAAATCTGGACGCCGAGACCACGGCATTCGAGAAGTTCAAGTGCTGGGCCACGACCACCGTGAGCGTCAAGACGGCCTCGAACGAGAAGGCCGAGGCTTGGCGGCGCGCTTCCGGGGGGCCTGACCTCTAGCTTCTTCTTCTCCTCCTCCTCCTCCTTCCTCCTCCTCCTCCTCCTCTCCTCCTCCTCCTCTCCTCTCCTCCTCTCTCCTCCTCCTCCTCTCCTCCTCCTCCTCCTCCTCCTCCTCTCCTCTCCTCCTCCTCCTCCTCCTACTCCTCCTCCTCCTCCTCCTCCTCCTCCTCCTCCTCCTCCTCCTCCTCCTCCTCCTCCTCCTCCTCCTCCTCCTCCTCCTCCTCCTCCTCCTCCTCGTTTTCAGCCAGTCCCCCCGTCGTCGGCATGACTGGGCGCGGCCTGGACAACACTTCCCCCCCCCAAACACTTGGGACCCAGACCCCATTCCCCAGGACCGTTTTTCATCCTGAGTCGTTTTTTTCACGGTTCCGAGGCCTGGTAAGGGCCCCCAGAGGCCGAACGTAGCAAGAAATTTCCAGTCGTGTTTTTTTCATGACCCGATGGGGTCTGGGGACTGGCCTTGCGTGGATTCTGGCCGGGACGTGGGCCAGACGGCGCGGCCGTCCAATCAGAGGCAACGATAGGGGATAGGCATAGGGGTGGATGCATCGATTCCCGATCGCCCATTGATCGCCGATATGGGTCTGTTAGCCCCTCCCCGTCCAGGAACGCGCGGATTTGTGATCGGGGGTTTATCGCCGATCCATCGGCGATGTGTCGCCGATTCCAGGTCGATGTGTCTTCCCCTATCGCTGCCCCTCCTCCTCCTCCTCCTCCTCCTCCTCCTCCTCCTCCTCCTCTTCCTCCTCCTCCTCCTTCTCCTTTGCCTCCTCCTCCCCATCCTCCATCCTGCTTTTCATCTCTCCTCCCTCATCCTCCTGAATTATCCTCCTCCCCATCCTCCTTTCGCCCACCCAGGACGGACGGCGCGGTCGTCCAAGAAGGCCAGGGTGACGTCGGAGCCCTCTTGGGGCCGTCTCTTGGGGTCCCCCCTGGGGAGCTCCCTGGCCGGCTTTGGGGGTCTTTGGGGGGCCGTCTTGGGGGCGGTCTCGATCGTGTTTTGGGCCGTCTTTAGAGCCGTCTTGGGGGTCTCTTTGGGGCCGTCGTGGACGCGGTTTAAATCGGAGGCAAGGTTTTCGGTTGTTTTCGTAGTTTCTTTTCGGCTTTCCGCCATCGAGATGCGTTCCAGCGGCTGCGCCTCGCCGAGAGCGTTCCGGGGGTGTCCTGATCGTCCCGCACGGCCACCGAGTTATGATCCAGAAGCCGGGTAACCGAATTCGGCGGCGCGCCCGGGGGGGGAGTGAGAAGGAGAAGGCGCCCTCAGAAGGCAGCATGACCTCTCATAAGCCCTCGCGCTTTCTGAGAAGTTCTTGTTTGTGTGTTCGGGGAAGGCTTAGAAAACCTCTCAGAAGGCCGGGGGACGTCTGAGCCTTTCGAGAAGGCCCGCCCCTTCTCACTTCCCCCGCGGGCGCTCCGCCGACGAAGCCAAAAAGGCGCACATTCCAAACATGCACGTTTTTCGAATGACCTGGGGCGATTTGTGCTCCTGAGGGCCCTTTGTGGGGGTCCTCGTGGAGCCCTCTGGGGGCTGCTCGGGCTGTCTTCAGGCCAGCATCGGGCGTCCTGGAGCCATTTGCGGCCACGTGGAGGCCATCGGGCTTCTTGGAGGCCCTCCTGCCTTCGAAACGGATTTTGCCTGAGCATGGCACATCCCGCCCCCTCCCCCACCCAGGACCCCCACTCCTGACTTGGTGATCCAGGGGGTCCTGGCTGGAGGTGAGGGTGGTTTTTGACCCCCCAGAGCTCCAAAAACATCGCCACCCCCAGCCCACAGCCAGGGCCCCCCAGATCACCAGTTCTGGAGTGTGGGTCCTGACTGGGAGTGGGGTTGAAGTGTGCTGTCCTCATTTCCAGAAGCCCCCGATCCCTTCTAGGAAGCCCCCTCCCCTGTGTCCTGAGAAGGCCGCGCTCATGGCCCGAACCCCTTTTCGCGGCGCGTGAGAGTTGCCCTTCGCCAGGGTGACCTTGTGGTTCGAGCCCGCAGTCAGAAGAGGCACAGGTCAGGGTTGTCTGCGATCCGATTCGATGCGATTCAATTCGCGGACAGGGCCCGCGTTGCCAATTTCGATTTCATTGGATTCACCCGCATCGGTCGGGGCCAGCCGGGCCGAACACGCTCGATCCTATTCCGATTCGATTCGGGGCGATTCGGTTGCGATCCGATCCGTTCCCGATCCGATCCGATCTCGCGATTCCATGCAAGCTTGTCATGAAGGCACTGGTACCGCCATCGCTGGATTCGCCTCGAAGTTCTGGTCAGAACGCACCCTGGGAATGGTCTGGGGAGTAGCGGTATCGATACCTTCTGGTTTCCTCAGCAGAGGCTTGCGCGCTTGGATCTGGCCTTCCCGCGCCCCCCCTACAGCAGGCACGTGCAATCAGAAATACGCATGCCAGCAGCTGGAGCGGGGACCCACAGTAGCTCTGGAGCATCCTATGACCCTCGAACGTCGACGAAGAAAGCACCACAAGATTTCTTACGGCAAGATTTCTGGTCGTACGTGTCACCAAGTGGATAACGCGCACCAGAGGGTTACCCTTGCCCAGGGCCGCTCCCGCACGCAGCCGACTTCGGCGCGCCGCCAAAAGCGAACAGGCGCGGTTGGAGTCCCTGGAGCAGTACATCGCCGACCTGGAGGCGGGCCGCATCGAGCTGACCAGCGAGCGCTCGGACCTGGAGAAGGAGATCGCGGGCCTGACGGCGGACCTGGAGAACGCCGAGGCCCTGCGCGACAGGGATCGGAGGGCACCAACCACAGTGGAAGCCCATGCCACACCAAAAACCAATGGCAAAGGACGTCCTGGGGTCTCAGGGTTGGGCTTCTCGTGAACCGTTTCTTGTGGTCGAGCTCCTACTGTACACACCTGCACCGACCCTGGCCAGGCCCCTCCCGGGCCCAGCATCGGCGCGCATGCCCTGCCGCCCAAGCCTGGAGGGTGCGCAGGCGCCGATGCTGGGCCCAGGACGGGGCCTGGCTGGGCTCGGCGTGGGCGTGTGGCCGGCGTCCTCCCTGGAGGAGCACGAGGACTTCCTCGCCGCGGAGGAGGAGACGAAGAAGGCCATCGCGGCGGTGGAGGAGGCCGTTGGGGTCCTGGAGGAGGCGCAGCCCGGCGGCGGCTCGTTCCTCACCGTGGACAGGAAGCCAGGAGGGAGGAAAGTCTCAGTCCCACAGGCTCGTCGATTTCCCAGAGGGTGTGTCGCCGCGCCGTTTGTTCCGACGCGCGGCCTTACGTCTTGGGGAGGGCGCCTCGGCCACGAGGGCAAATATTCTGCCTCGGACGCAAGGTCTGCCGTGGGTTTGCCGTGGTGTCGGCGTCGCCCTTGGGCGCGTTGAGAACACACGGCGCGGCGACATAGATGTGAAAATATTGGAGATGGATGGGGAGGACGACAATATTGGATGACCTGGGGGGAGCCTGGAATTTGTGCATATATGTAAACATCTCTATATATATATATATATATATATATGTATATCGCTGCCTTCCGGGGCCCCTGCAGGAAGGCCGGCGCCGGGCGGCTCCGCTCGGGCGCGGCGGACTTCGACAAGCTGATGCGCGCCGTCGACTTCGGCAAGCGGTTCTCGGTACTATCCACATGGGCACGGAAAGGATGTGTTCGAAGACTGAAAGCGCATCTTGCTCAAGTTGAACAGACTGTGCGGTCGGTGTTGCTGCGGACGTGGTCCATTCAAGACAGAAGGCCACCTCACCAACGGCGGCCGCTGTCGGTTTGGGACAGCACTTGTGGTTGGGCATCGTGCAAGCGTTTTCCGCATCCAGTTCGGGCGTCCAAAGGTTCCTGTCGAGGGGCGACGCGGTCTTCCTCGAGAGGGTCCTGACGGGCGACGTGCCGGAGTGGGACTGGAAGAAGCTCAACCGGAAGGCCGAGTTCAAGATGAGCTACACGACGCGCACGGCGAAAATCGTGCAGGTGCTGAAGAACATTAAGTTCACCTTCGCCCAGACGCTGAACGACATGGTCAAGAAGGAGGAGGCGGCCGTGGAGACCTACGAGAAGCTGAAGGAGTCCAAGACGGGGCAGAAGGACGCGGCCGAGGAGGCTCTGGGCAAGATGGAGCTGGAAGGCGCGGCCCGCGGCCAGACGAAGTCCGAGGCCCAGAGCGAGGTCGACGATCTGAAGACCCAGATGGAGAACGACGAGAAGTTCATCGGCCAGGCCAAGGCCGAACTGAAGGAGAAGGAGGACGAGTGGGTGGAGCGCAAGAAGATCCGCATGGACGAGATCAGCGCCATCAGCGAGGCCATCCGTGTGCTTCACAGCGACGACGCGCGCGACCCACGAGGCTCACGCCACTCCGCCGATCCCCCCAGATATGAGGATGTGTGCGGTTTCCGATGTTGCATGTGCTCTGTGCCGCGTCCCCTCGTGCTGCCTGCGTGTAGGTGTTTCTGGTTCGTCCCCCTCTGCCCTCGCGTCTGTTGCGGGGCGTTTCGGAGGCCTCTTGGAGGCCTCGGCGGCGTCCTCTCGGGAGCCCTCTCAGGGCTTCTGGGTGTTCGGCGGGGCCCTCTGAGGGCTTCTTGGAGACTTTTTGTTTGCAGGCATCTTGGGCGTCTTGGGGGGCCATCTTAGGGCGGAGGGTTCTTGGGCCCCCTGCTGGGCTTCTCCGGCTCCTCCTGGAGCCTTCACGAAGCCGTCTTGGGGGCCCCTTTTGGCAGCCTTGGGGCCAACATCTGTAGCCTTTTTGGCTCGAGCCATTCTGGCTCAAGGCCAAATGGCGCATCGATCGCTGCCTCGTCAGGGTCGGTTCCTTTTCAGAGATTCATCGATGCGAGCTGCCGCGCACAGCCATATTCACGCTCGACGTGGGCGGCGCGGCGGTCCATGGTGTCTCCTCCTGGCGGTGGCAGTGGCAGTTTCAGCGGTGGGAGGCGGTGATCGATGAGCACGCAGTCCGTGGAGTCGGCAGCCGTGGGTCCAAGCACCGTGGTGTAACACTGAGAGCAGTCCAGTCAAACGCCCAGCGTGGAGGCGCAGTGGCAGCAGTAGAAGTGGTGGAAGCGGAGGAAGCGAAGTCAAAGCGTTTTGCCAGAGCAAGGAGCGCGGCAAGTGGCGATGGTCCGACTGGCTGGCGGACGCGGGTTACCAATGCAACTGTGGCGGTACCAAATTGGGCAGCGAGCCGCCGGCAGGGGGCCATTATCGAGGATTTGCAGGATGTTGCACACCCAGGTTTAAAGACGAGAGCGCAACATACCTTCATCGCTTGGAGTTGGCAACCAGGCGGTGCGAAGGAGTTGTCAACAAAAAACGCATCGATGCTGTCATCAACTCCATCGCGCCCAACGCCGCACCGGACGGGGGGTCCACAGGGGACTGGGGCAGCACTGCGAGCAGCAGAGCACGTGGCACATAATTCCACCAAGGCGCAGCAGAAGGCGCGCAGAAGGCGAGAGCATTTACGAGCTGAACTCGAGCAGGCAGAGAAGAATTGCATGGAACGCTCCGCCGATGTGGCGGCAGCAGAGGACCGCGTCAAAGAAGAGTTGCGCCTGCGCCCCCTGGGCGCGCGCAGAGCGGCCGAGAAGGAGGTGGAAGTGGCAAGCCCTTGCTACATATCGGGGGGGGGGGACAGGCCGATGGCGACCCGGGGGTTGACGCGGGCAAGCTCCTCGACCTTGGCGAAGAGGGCAACTTCACTAGCCCTGGGGACATTGCCGAGCTGGAGAAGCGCAAGGCTAGCTTCGCTCAGGAGGCCAAGGGCGTGGCCGAGAAGACGTTCGCGGCAGCAGCGGGCGCGCTCGAGGAGCAGAGGAAGTCGCAGCAGGCATTCCCGGGCAAGCTCAGGCAGAAGAGGAGGAAGGTTGATGAGCCAGACGCCGCGGGGGGCGGCGAGGGCTCGAATCCAGTGCCAGCGGCAGCAGGCGACAGCTCGCCCAGAGCCCCTCAGGGCAGCCGAGCAACCGCCGGCAGCGCGTCGGCAGCCGCAGGTGGCGCGGGGGTGTCAGAGGCAGAGCGAGCGTTAGCTCGAGGAGGGGAAAGGGCCGCGGCGGAGGCGGTGGCGAAGTCCTGAGCCAAGGCGAAGGAGAAGGCATCGAGCGGGCGCCAGCACCATGTTCATGCAAAGCATGTCCCAGTGGGGCCTTAAGCTCAAGAAACAGTTCGAGAACCTGAGGGATGGCGCGGTTACCTTCCCAGAGACGCACATGGGAAAGAAGCAGAGCAACGAAGTACTCCATTTCTTCGATAATGGAGGCTTCCAAGAAGAGCGAGGTGACAGGGCGCGTCGCCATAGCAGGACGAGGGAGGCCATCGGTCACCAGCGTCAGGCACCTGGCACAGAAGCAAAGCCAAGCGATGAGACTGCGCCTGCTGGAGGCAGGCGGGTGGGAGCCAGGGCCCAGCGACTACTGGGGCCTGGTCGTGATCAATTGCAGGTCCAAGAATCAAACCATCATCGCGATCGGGGTGCACATGACTCGCCCATGGGGTCAGTGGCGAGAACGCGCAGGAGTTGGCCAAGACTGCGTCTCTGTTTCGAGGGCACAGCGGCCCTTGGATGGCGGTCGGCGGCTGGAACGCGGCGCCCAAGTAGCTGGATCAGTCTTGATGGCTGAGCATCCTGGGCGCGGGGGCCAGGGCGCCGCGAGGATTCGATTGCACGTGTGCGCGAGAGCCCGCGCGGATGCTGGACAACGCCGCGTGCTCGTCGTTCTTCCTTCTCGCGCTGGACAGAGTCAGCGGTAATCAGGAGGGCCCTGGGGGCCACTGCGGTATTCGAGTGCATCTTCGAGGCGATGTGGGGGCATCTTTGCAGCGGGCGCTCCGGCTCCCGCAGCCGCTCCAGCTGCCGAGCATGCCGAAGAAGTCCGACCCGCGCAGCAAGCGGTCCAGGGGCAAGAAAAGGCAGAGACAGACCACCGATGCCAGTGGGGACTCGGAGCTGGCGGCCGAGCCTTCCGCGCGCCATCAGCTTTCGGGGTCGGCGAGCAGCGTTGCCAAGATACAGCGCCTGGACGTGCCAAGGGATAGTGACCTCAGCGCAGAGGGAGACCAGCTGTTCGGCGGTTACCACAGCAGCGAAGAGGAGGAGGACATCGACCTGCACGAGGAGGCAGCGCATCTTTAAGAGGCGGCAGAGGGGGGCGCCGAGGACGGGGGTCTGGGGGCCCTCGGCCACGCGGCCGAGGAGAGGGGCGCCCGGTGGCAGCTGAAGTTCATGAACGCGGGCAACGGGAACAGCATTTCGTGGCGGCGACCCCCGCCATGCACTCAGGACACCGCAGCCTTGAAAGTCGACGCGGAGGACCCGAAGACGCGAGGGGAGGAACCTGGCAAATGGGTGCGCGCAGTAGAGGAGTACTGCATCGCGCTGCTGAAGATGGATTTCAAGGAGCAGCGCGCCTACCGCGGCAGAGGCGAGGGGGTGACATCCGAGAGTGGAGCGGTCAAGCTAGGCAGCGACGTGGGTTCCGATTGGACCAGTCCATGCGACGGTGGGGTGCGCTTGTCTCGTGGCTGATCGAGCTGCAGAGGTGTGGCGGCATGGGGCCCATGGCCACCGAGCTCAATAACCACTGAAAAGGCATCGTGGGCAGCGTGCCCATCAACGGTGACATCGCCCAAACGACTCGGAAGCAGAAGCGGAAGTGACGCGCCGTGCTGCGCGACATCCACGAATTGTGGAGCGAGCGGCTCCAGCAGCTCGGGGCGGCGGCGCTCGCAACGGCGCGTCGGGGCGAGCGCGTGGAGGTGAAGGAAGCGCTAGTCGGCTACGCCAACTGGGTTCAGGAGCAGGAGGCATTGGGCGCAGGGGAGCTACGCGGGAAGACAAAGGACCGGCCGAGGTGCGACAACAGGATCCGCATTGGCGATCGAGTGGCAGGCAGCGCGGTCGACTGCATGGACGCGAAAGGGGCGCAATGGGAAGCGAAGTGGGCGAGCGTGACGGGTATTGCCCAGCTCTTAGCAGCCTTGCAGCGCGCCAGACAGGCTGCGAAGGAAGAGGAGTGGAACCCATATCAATGAAGTCTATCAACTGTGCGATCGACGCAATGTCCAAGAGCAAGGCGAAGGGCGCTGAGCAGTGAGGGGCGCTTGCTTTCACGCGGCTGCCATGCAGCGCAAGGGCGCAGCTCCTGCAGCTCATCGCGGAGGTGGAGGCCATGGGCACGTGGCCGCGGCAGCTGATGGTTGCGCTGGTCAGCCCGCTGGGGAAGGGCGCGGGAGGAGACAGAGCCATCGGCCTTCTCCCAGAGGTGATGAAATTGTGGTCGAAGGTGCGCAGCGAGTGCACCAACGAGTGGGCGGTCGCGATGGCGGGCAAGCGGGGCGCCGCGGTCACGGGCAACAGCGCGTTAAAGAAGGCCCTCGCGCGGTCTTTTGCCGCCGAGGTCATCGAGCGGGCGCCGCAGAAAATCTAAGCGGCAAAGGTGATCTGGGACTTGGTGGAGTTCTATGACGCGTTGGAGCCGATGCTCATCCTGGAGGGCTTCATGCTGGGGCTCCCAGCGCGCGCGCTACATTTGTAGATGCTGAGCCACCTGGCCAGCCGACTGGTCAGTGAGAGGACAGCCCACGCGAAGCCGATTGCGCCCGAGAGGTCGATCTGGACTGGAGCCCGCAGGGGCATCGACTTTGGCAGGGTCGTTCTGTGCTCGGGGCTGGAGGAGGTGAGCAGCAAGTTCAGCCAGGTGCACGCGAGGGCGCGCGCCGACGACGTCGCCGCCAGGATCGAGGGGTCGGGAGCTGAGGTGATCAGTTGACCAACGCATGCGTCGACCTCGCAGCAGCTTTCAAGCAGGCGAAGCGGGTGCTGTCCAAGAAATCGGCAGCCATAGAATAGGGAACGACAAAGAGGTTGGGCAGGAGATCGCGCTCAGGCTCCGAAGTCGGAACATCGCCGTCGCGCTCGAAAATCCGGCGCCCGACCTCGGCATCGGCGGGGGCAGCGTCGCCAGGGGCAAGTGCAAGCGCGCCGAGCGGTGGCGCGCGCAGACAGACAGGCGGAGAAGGCGCTGCGCACGCTGCGAGCGGGCAGACGGGCGCGATGGGGGCGCGCGCATGGCGGTGCAGATGGGATCGGTGCCCAGAGCGGCGTGCACGAGCAAGGTGTTCGACTTGTCACCGTCGAAAATTGCCGCGTACGGGGCGAGGGGGCTGGGCAGCGCGGTCGCACCGCGGCTGCGCGGGCGATGTTTGACCACGTTGCTGCAGCTGGAGTTGGGCAAGAGTGACCCAGGAGACCGAGCTGTTTTCGCGCTGCTGGACTCCTGGATGCACATCATCAGTGAGGAGAAGCGCTGGATTGAGGTGGCGCTCATATGGAATCGCGTGGTCAAGGCTATGGATGGAGGCGAAGCGCGCCAGCGACAGGTGGGGGCGCGTGGCAGGCGCGACCAGAGCCATGCATGCTATGTGTGCACGCTGATGGTTCTAGGGTGGACGCCGCGCGGCCCGCGGCACTGGGAGTCCGACTTTGGGGTCATCTTCGGCGGCGCCGGCGGAAGCAGCTTGCGCGGCGAGGTAGACATCAGCGAGCTTCAGATGGCGATCGCGGGGGGCGTAGAGCGCAAGCAGTGGAAGAAGGCTGCAGAGCACTACGCAGGAGGAGGACTCGAGGGGCGTGCAGATCGGCCGTCAGCACGGGCTAACTCGAGGAGGCTCCGCAAGCAGGGCAACTTCGAGAAGCTTGGCGCCATGGCGGCCATTTATATTGGAGGGGTATGGCCGCGGCGGCGCGTCGCCGACTTGGGCGTGGATATCGAGCGCGCACTATGCCCGAGGTGCGAGGAGGAGCCAGAGACGTGGGAGCACCACATGTGGAGGCGCAAGTGCAACGACATTGTCAGACTGCGAGAAGTCCAAAGGGTCGGGGGAGATGTCGGAGGAAGGAGTGGCGGTGCAGCCGTGCCTGTGGCTGCGGGGCATTTTGCCCAGGAGTTGGACGCAGGTGCAGGCGCCGCCAGAGCCAGGCGAAGAGGCGCGCGGGACCTCGGGGGAGCCGCGTGCTCTCGACGAGGACAGCTGGGCGCGCATCGCAGGTGATGCATCGGGGGGCGAACGTGCCTGAGGCCCGAGAACCAGACGGAGTGCTCGGGGATGCATGTTGCTGAACTTTGCTGAGGGCGAGGGCATGCGCGGCATGTGAAGCAGGGGGGGATTACCTGGATAGGGGCAGAGCGTCACCGCGGGCCAGCTCGAGCTCCACGCGCTGGTGGGGGCCGTCGGGACTTCGCAGGTCACGCGCGTATACGGTGCGTCACGGACCCGGGGTACGTCATGCGGGGCGTCGCCATTGTGGCGAGGAGGAAGCTACCCAAGACCCACGGGGACCTCTGGAAGCGGTGCCGCCAGTGCAAGGAATGGAGGCAGATCGAGGCGGTCAAGATCGAGGGCCACATGAACCTGGCAGGCGCCGCACGAGGATGGGTCGACATGAGGGACTACGCGGGGAACCACCTAGCGGACGAGTTCGTGGAGGGCATCGTCGAGGAGGCGCATGCGCCTTGGGGCGAGACGCAGAAGGTCAAGTTCGCAGTGGAGGTGGCGGCGCAGATACGGAAGAGGGCCCACGCGACCTTGATGGCAGCAGCGGGGGCGGAGCCCTCGCAGCCTAGGCCCACCAAGAAGGAGAGGCAAAAGGCGAATGCCAAGATGGAAAATAGGGAGGCGGTGATCAAGCAGAGTAGCCATGACATTATCGAGGAGACGAGAGGCCGCCACTTGAGGTGCAGGCGTTTCGCTTCGAGGGTCGCCACGTACAAGTGCGACCAGTGGGTGCAGGAGACGTGCGAGCCGTTGCGGAGTCAGGAGACGGCCCCAACAGGAGCGAGGATCGCTAAGGGCCAGATCGGAGCTCGCAAGCCGCGCGAGCCGTACAACGCGGAGTGCGACGTGACCCTGGAGGTGTACTATTGTACGGTGCGCGGCAGCATCGCGAGGGAGCGCATGAAGAACCTCGGCAAGCAATACGGAGGCAAGAGCACCAAGTGGGAGGACATGAACTGGGGAACTTGGCGCGGGTACAGAAAGGGGCTCCAGCCAGGGAGCTCACCTCTGGCGCAGACGCACAACGCCGCGCGGACGAAGTCCATCAGGAGCCACGAGAGCATCGCCTCGAGACAGAGCGCATCGAGGTCGGAGGCCAGTGGGATGACAGCCCGCAGGGGGTCTCTCAAGCGGCCAGGGCATCCGACAGCGCTGTGGAGTTGGAGCTGGTGGACAGCGACGGCGAGATAATGGGCGACACCGTGCCTACCAAGGAGGCGCCGCTTCGGAGCGGGCCCATGAAGAAGCCTGCAGCAGGCGGGCAGAGCAGCGCGAAGGAGAGTACGAAGGGAACTCCCAGGACAGCGAGCGGCTCGAAGGGAAGTATGTCTTGTTGAAGGAGTAATTCGACGGCTGCCGCCGCCTCTGCGGCGTCGGGCGTACTGGCCCCAGCCTGGGGCGTGGCATCCGCCGGAGCCTTGCCACAAAAAATGCCTTGGGGCCAACTGGGGCAGTTTTTGCCCAATCTGGTGGATTTTTTCGGGTCGCGTTGGGATTCAAAATCCCGCGACGACAAGAATACGAACATCTTGCGAAAACGCCTAAGGGGAAGCACTGATCGCATCCTCTTGTGACCGTCGTGGGGCTCCTCTTGGGTTTCTTCTTCGGGCGTCTTGCAGACTTCTTTTGCCGCCCTGAGGCGACCTTGGATGCCGTGGAATCCTCTCAGCCGCGTTGGAGCCCTGCTTCAGCCGTTTCAGATTTCAGAGGGCATTTTGTGCATCCTGGAGGCCGCGGTGGGTTGATGTGGAGGTTCCGAGGGCCAGGGAGGTGCGCCGGGGAGCTCGTGCCCCCCCCCCCTCCCCCCGGCCACCCCCATCAGGCGGGATCGCGGTTGTCAGGGAAGGGGGGGGGCGGAGGGGGACAGCCAAATGTCCCACGCGCCTTTTCTTCACGTCCAGCAAGAGGGGGTCGGCGGACCTCTTCAAGCGGTCGCTGTCGTCGCAGGGCTACGTCCAGGTCTCGTCCCAAGGGTTCCAGTTCGTGCAGGCTTCAGCGGATGGAGGGCAGCAAGGTGGAGGTGGAAGAGGGGCAAGGGGAGGGCACATGGGGGGGGGAGGAGGGGGAGGAGGAGGAGGAGAAGGTATATGGGAAGGAGCAGGGAGGGGCAAGGGGAAAGGGAGGAAGGTCCGATTCGTTTCCGTTTTCGGTCCTGTTCGCTTGCGACCCGATCCGTTTTCCGACCCGATCCGATTTTTCCTGCGACCATTTGCGAACCCTGCCCCTCAAAGTCAGGCTGGGTTCTCGGGCACCCCCACTGGGGTACACGTGGCTGCAGACATTCTCAATTTCAGACCCCCGGCCGATGTTTTTTGACTCTGACCTGCAGGGGTAGGGTTCACACGTGGCTGCCTCATTTCGGCATCACCCAAGCGCGTAGCCTCCCCGCAGCCACGCGCGCGATGAAGTCTGATAGTGTTTGCTCGGTGGCGAGCGCTTTCTAGCCGCACCGCCATCTGCCACAGAGTGCACGACGGTACCTTGTGAGGCGTCGCGGCCGTCCCTCTCTTCTTTCTGAAAAAGAAAGTTTTGTGCCCCCGCCCGAGAGGCCTCCCATTCCCGAAAACGTGTCAAAATATTAGACAATTCGACTGCGCCGCCCCGAGAGGCCTCCGATATGTTTCCGATCCGATCCGATGCCTTTTCCGATCGCTCCGACCCGTTTTCGCGAGTCGATCCAGTTCAGTTGTGTTGCATCTTCGGGGAGTCTCGTCTTTCCCAACAGTTGTTGTCTTACCTTGTGCCCGATGTGGGCTCGATGCGGACACGACGCAGATTTGGTGCGGATCCGACGCGGATTCACATGGATTCGACACTTGTTCGACGCGGACGGGAGCGCGACGGGGCTTACTACCCACCAAACCACCCTGACCCAACCCGAAAGGCTCCAGTTGCCCACCATTCCCGTGGGGGTGGGGGGGGGCATCAGGGAACAATGAGCAAACACAGAAGGAATTCTTACGCCAGCCAACCCGAAATTTGGGACTTTGGCTTGGGCTGGGATGGTCTGGTGGGCAGTCAGGGACAGACAAGGTCCCTCGAAGATGCAACATGAAACTCAGTTGTGCCCGACGTCCGAGAGGCCTCCCAGTCCTGGTGCGATGATGATGATGCTGATGATTATAGTAATGCTGATGATGATGATGGTGATGATGATGATGCTGATGCTGATGATGATGATGATGATGATGATGATGATGATGATGATGATGATGATGGCGATGACGATGATGATGCTGACGATGGTGATGGTGATGGTGATGGTGATGGTGATGGTGAAGGTGGTGGTGTTGATTGTGATGATGATGACGATGATGATGACGATGCTGATGATGACGATGGTGCTGTTGCTGATGATTAGGATGATGGTGATGATGATGCCGACTATTACTATGCCGCTGATGATGATTACCATTCATGATGATGGGATCGTGGTAGTGATGCTTGATGGTACTTCTGTTGTGATGATGGCGATGACGGTGGTGGTGACGATGATCAGACTAGAATGGATGATGATGAGGATGACGATGAGGATGAGGATGATTATGCTGTTGCTTTTCCAATTAGGCTTGCCCTCTAACTTAAACCCTACTAATTGGTCCGTTGCCCCCCTCCTAATTCCTATGCCCCCCCTAATTCCTATGGCTATGCCTATGCCTATGCCTGTGCCCTCCCCCTAACTCCTATGCCTACGCCTGCGCCTATGCCTATACCTATGCCTGTGCCTATGCGCCACCTCTGAGCGCTCCCATGCCTATGCCTATGCCTATGCCTATTCCTATGCACCACCTCCAAGCGCTCCTCCACTTCTTTGCATCATTATCCAAATAGGCTTGCCCTATAGGAGTCCTAGCTCATCATGAGTACCCCCCCCCTTTCCAATGCCCCCCCCTTTTTCCAATGGGACCCCCCATTTGTCCAATGGCACTTGCTTGCTTGCTCTTGCGTGGTTGCTCTCGCTTGCTTGCTCTTGCTTGCCCTTGCTTCCTTGTACTTGGTCGCTGGCTTTTGCTCGCTTGTTATTGCTCGCTTGCGCTTGCTTGCTTCCGCTTGCTTGCTTGCGCTTGCTCCTCGCGTCCTCCTCCCGTCCTCCTTTCGTCCTCCTCCCATCCTCCTCTCGTCCTCCTCCTGTCCTCCTATCTATTTGGAGTCAACGCTGGCTGATATGAGCCCCCCCGCAAAGGATCCCTAGTGTGAGGTTTTCCGATCGAATTCTTCAAATAGGTTTGCCCTATAGGAGTCCTAGCTCAAACCCTACTAATTGGTCCGTTGCCCCCCCCTCCAATTCCTATGCCCCCTAATTCCTATGGCTATGCCTATGCCTATGCCGATGCCTCCCCCCTAACTTCTATGCCTACGCCAATGCCTATGCCCGCTTGCTTGCTTGCTTGCTTGCTTGCTTGCTTGCGCTTGCTTGCTTGCTTGCTTGCTTGCTTACCGGGTTGCGGATTCCAAGCATGCTTGATTCCTCTGATTCCTTGATTTGCATCGTCTAACCTATTTGGAGTAAACGCTGGCTGATATGATGATGCTGATGGTGATGATGGTGATGAGGATGAGGGTGATGATGACGACGACGACGATGATGATAATGATGATGATGATGATGATGAGGATGATGATGATGATGGTCTGGATGCTCATGCTGACGATGATGATTCTGGTGATGCTACTGCTGATGACGATGTTGATGATGATGCTGCTCATGCCGATGATGATGGTGATGATGAGGATGACGATGATGATGCTGATTATGCTGCTGATGATGATGACGACGATGATGATGCTGCTGATGCTGATGATGCCGATGATGATTATGACGATGATGATGATGCTGATGCTGATGATGATGCTGCTGATGATGATGATGATGGTGATGATGATAATGATGGTGATGATCGGGGGGGGGGGTGTTCCTGTTCCCGTGTTCCTGCGTCGGGGTGTCCAGAGAAAACAAGAGCCCCACTCAGGATGTGGGGGAAGTTCTGCCCCCCGCCCGAGAGGCCTCCCAGTCCCGGGCCCGCGCCCACGAGCTGCTCGCCTCCGCGCCGCGCCGCGCGTCCACCGCGGTCCGCCGCGCCGCGGCCCGCGCTGGCGGGGACCCGCGGCTCCTGGCGCTCGCCGAGCGGACCCCGGCGGGCGACGGCGTCGTGGTCGTCGTCGTCGTCGTCGTCGTCGTCGTCGTCGTCGTCGTCTTGGAGGTTCGCGGCGCCTCCCCAGGTTCTCGCCGCCTGCGGCCGGACACGCGGATCGGGAAAGCTGGTCAGAGTGGACGCGGGGACGGACGACCCACATTTCTAGTATCACGAACAGAAGACGACGGCCAGTCTTCCTCAGTTTCGGCCCGCGGGTGCCACTTCCTGGGGCCGCCACGGGATGAAAATCCAGCCTTGGGGAAGGGGTCGAGAGCCCTGTGTGCCAAGTTTACTTTTGTATTCTTTGGACCTGTAACGCTCGCAACGGGAGTCCGCCCCCACCCCTGCTCAAGCGCTCACACCCCGCAGGGCTGGCCGAGCCCCTCAGTCGTGCTGTGGTTTTTCACAGGTGCTGAGGTTAATGGTGATGATACGCCATGTGGTGCTCGCAGGTTCGGCGGTGCTCACTGAGCGTTGCCTGCGAGGCAGGATGGTCCACGCCGCCATGCATGCGCTGCTGCCGCTTGTGCTGCTCTCAGACACAGGTACTCATGTGTGCGTCCGTTCCCACACGCTTGGTGAGGAAAAGAACGGCTTTCAAGTGCAACCGGCATTCGCGTTACGACGGTGGTTCTTGAATCATGCGGTCCGCTCCCATCTTCTCCCTCTAAAAAAACACAGTTTGGTGCTTACTGGCACGATGTGGCTCTTACAGGCAGGCTGTTTTGGTACTGGCTTCGGGCACGGTGTTGTGCGCACGCGTGGTGCTTCCGTTCGCCGGCAAGTTGTGGTGCTGGCAGGTACGTTGTAGTGCTCGACGGCAGTCGTAATGCTCACATGTGCTGTGTGGTGCTCGCAGGCTGTTGTGGCACAATCGCGCGAATCGCAGGCTAGATTCATGCACCGTACCATAGCGGCATCCCTGGGGCATTGTTTGTAGATGCCGATTCGCGCAAGAACCTTGAGGAGGATTTGGGAATGACTTGCGCCTGCATTCGCATCGTTGGAACTCCTTGCGGGCCCTGGTGGTCCTGCGGCGGAGGTGTCAGGAGGAGTTTTCTGAGAGGCCCCGCCGCATATGGCGCCCCGCTTGGTACAGTACATAATTTCGGTGTTCTGTGGCGGGCGAAGACTATGCACCGTACCGCGCCTGGTTCTCATCGACGGCCTCAGAGTCTGTTGTCGAGTTCTCTCGTCGACCCGTTTGGGTCGAAAGGTTGGCGCGCGCTTCTTCGCTGGGCTCGCAGGGGGGCGCGCCAACGCAATCGGCACTCGACGACGCCAGGGGGCCCTTTGAAATTTTGAGGCTCGGTACGGTGATCAATTATCGCCCGCGTAATACAAGCTGGATCTGGCCTACAGTTTTGTTTATATGGCGCGGTCTAGAAAAGACGTCGCCTTCGGGCCGTCTCGCCCTCGGTGGAATCTGGCGAAAAATTGGCAAGACTTCAGGGGAGTGAAGCGGCGGTGGGTGCGTCAGCGGAAGCGGGCGGAAGATCGTCGGAAGGGGGTGGAAGTATCAGTGGCATGCCAGCGTTGTTGGGTTCATGATTTGAGGAGTCGATCAGCTGTTGCATCTCACAGGCATGTCGCAGTGCTCACGGGCACGTTGAAGTACTCGCGCAAATTCTGCTGGTACGTGTGGCGATCACAGGCCCGTTGAGGTTGGTCCCAGGCTCCTGTGGTAATGGCAAGGACCGGCATACAGCCAAGACGCTGAAATAAGGAACAGTTTGGATTCGGAAGGGGCTCGATGTTCCTTACGTCCTTCCGTGGTTGTTTTTCTAGCCCTTCTCGTGCAGACAGGATTTTTTGAAGCCGCAGAAGGGGCTTCATTCCTTGTTTAGCGTTCCTTATTTCAGCAGCCTGACTGCACGTTTGTGCACATCGTGGTGTTGGTTTGACGTATGTGTGGTACTGGCAGTGTCTGGCTTTCTTCGCCGTGTTGTGGTCATAAGTGCAGAATGGTGCTCGTTGAACCGTTTTGGTACTCGCAGGCTGGTGTTGCGTTCGCAGGTGTGTTGCGGTACACACAGGCCATGCGTGCTCACCACCAGCTTGCTCGCAGTGTGCACAGGCCTGAGGCACCGAACTTGTGTATGTGCATGTGCGTGTATGAGATATGAGACGCGCCGTCAGCTACCAGGTTTTGAGTCTGCTCCCGCACAGCCCAAAGTGCTTCACGCTCTGATGGCGTTCTGGCCGTCCGCGGCCTTTTTTTTTCCCTCCCGCCGCTCTTTTCGCCTTTGTGCCGAATTTGCTCAGCAGCAGCCCTGTTGCAGCTTTGCCCCAAGTTGGATCCAAGGCGCCGCAGATCAGACAGTATGAGATCGCGCGCAGGGCTGTGGTGTCCGCAGACCTCTCGCGGACGACTGCGGCACTCAAGCGTTGGCTCCTGCGCCTACGAGTGCCTGCGTAGGCCCGCCTGCCGGACACGTGCCCCCATGTAAGTGTTGCGTCCCCGCACACCATCAAGCCGTAGCTTGCATTACGGGGGGGAGCTGGGGACAGGCCCGCC